ACCGAGTGCCTTGCCCGGAGCCCGAGTTCAAGGTCGATGTGCACGCTGTTCGCCGTTTAATCAACCCTAATACCGTACTTCTTGTCGGATCGGCACCTAACTTCCCCCACGGCATTGTTGATGATATCCCCGCTCTATCGCATCTGGCAACCAAGTATAAGGTTCCTCTCCACGTTGACTGCTGCTTGGGATCTTTCGTCGTTGCACACCTCAAGAAGGCCGGCTTCCCCTCGCCCTACGAGGAAGAGGGTGGCTTTGACTTCCGCCAACCCGGTGTGACCAGCATCAGTGTCGACACCCACAAGTATGGCTTCGCTCCCAAGGGTAACTCGGTCTTGATCTACCGCAACAAATCATACCGAAACAACCAGTACTTCATCTACCCCGATTGGTCCGGCGGTGTTTATGCCTCTCCCTCCGTTGCAGGCTCCCGCCCTGGCGCCTTAATCGCTGGTTGCTGGGCCAGTCTGATGAGCGTCGGTGAAACTGGGTACATCAACAGCTGCACCGATATCATCAACGCGGCACGGAAGTTCGAGGCGGCCGTTCGGACCGATGCGACCATCTCACTGCACATGGAGATCATTGGTAACCCTATCGTCAGTGTGGTCGCATTCCGCAGCAAGAACGGTGCTATTGACATTTATGATATTGCCGATGACTTGTCCGCCAAGGGCTGGCACCTCAACGCCCTGCAATCTCCCCCGGCTATCCACTGTGCCTTCACTATTCCCACTGCCAAGGCTGTTGACCACCTCATTGCTGATCTGACTGAAGTCATCGGCACAGAGCTTGAGAAGGCCGAGCAGCGCAAGCGCGAGGGCAAATCGTATATCCTTAACCGTGGTGATACCTCTGCTCTGTATGGTGTGGCTGGCAGCATTCCCGATAAGAGTGTCGTCAGCCGTCTGGCAGAAGGGTTCTTGGACACTTTGTACAAAGCATGAGTCTTGGAATAACCATCTCGGTTTTCCTTGTTTGTATCTTCTTTTCTCAGCCTGTTCGAACTGCTCCCGAGGCATAGTCCTGGTGTCTGCTAGCTGTCCTTACCTAAACTGCTGGTGCAGTGGCGTTATCATTATTCAGGTCTTTTCAAATTGCGCATATTTGTTTCAAGTGTTGGATTCCACTAGACGGTAATAATGCATATAATACAATAGTTTGCCGGAAAGACATTCGCCCGATAGATGTGGACGTAGAAGTACATGACCAAAAAAGAAGAAGAACAGCAACCCGCTCCATGCAAGCAAAGCCAAAACAGAAAAAAGAGGACGCGATCGATCAATCAATCAATCATGCGTCCTAGTGAAAGGCATTCGAAAAGACTCAGATCCCATTTCAGTCTTCGAGACCGGCGAAAGACCAGAGTCTGAAAAGCACACCATTCCACGCGAAGCTCAATGAAAACAATCACTGACCACCGAGTTCCCCCCGCTGCTCAGTGCAGCTCTTTTCGGTATAATATCCAGGATCAGGCTTGCGCTCGAGATGCACCTCCTGCTTCGTGAGGCGGTGCTGGCACTCCTCAACCTGGACAAGTTCCTTGACTTTCATGATTTGACCCGCGACGGAAGGCGAGACGCTGTGGAAGACTGTTGCCATACGCTTCTTCAAGCCAAGTGCCTTGAGGACATCTGTTGAACGGCGCGGGAGTCCAATTGCGGAGCGGACGAGGGTGATACGGAAGTAGGACATGTTGGATTGTGGAGATCGAGGGGATCTGATATTCGGATGTTTGTTCTTTTGATGGGTTGGTTCGGTTGTCCGGAGTCGTGGAATCGGACTCGGGATAGGTGGAACGAAATGCGGTGGATGCAGGAGGATACCGGAGTATCGGTGGATGAGAATTTGCAGCCGATATCTGCACCGCAATTGATCCTGTGATCTGGCGGAGAAATGTCACGGACTTGGAGATGATCGCGATCCCGCAAATTCAATTAGAAGGCGGTAGGTCACGTGTGTATTCTGCCGGGAGTCCGATGACAGCAGCGACGACAATCTATCAGCCTGTGATAGCTGATATAGTATTTCACATTTTGAAAACGGAGACTATGGGCTGCGCTCTTTTCGGCGTGACAGTACCTGGATTTATATCATAGTTCGCTGCTGTGTACTACCTTCCCGCAAGCAACGACCCATGCCCGCATTGTTGACACCTCACCCCTCGACTTAGCTTCGAGCGATTGAGCCGGAACAACGACACCACGAGATATCTGATACCCCTACCGCGATCATGGCGCAAGCCAGTAATATTGATACTACGGTCGCGCTGCCGCGGCTCGAAGACCTTCTACGGCACCCGGAGGATCTAGACAAGATCAGCGGGCTTAAAGCGGAATACCTACGGAAGAAGACGGCAGTTGATTCACGGTTGCGTGAAGGTCTGCGAGACCAGCTGGAGGCCGTACAGCGCAGCATGGGTGCTTTGACTGAGGGCCAACGACAAGTCTCGAAAACAAAAGACGAACTTCAGGGCATCGATAAGCTGTGCGCCGAGTCGCAGCATAGCGTGGAGGACTTTGCACAGATTGATCAACTTGCGCGGATCCAACGACATTTTGATGCTACGCTTATGATGAAACGGGGGCTGGAGAATTTCGGCGCGGATATCCAGGAAGTGGAGGATTTGCTCAAAGAGGATGATGACGATATGGAGAATCAGCCTAATATTCTGCGGGCTCATATGCAGATCTCGCGGTTAAGAGATTTCCGTGATGAAGCTATGGATCAGATTCGCAAGGCGGAGGATCAGAGCTCCGAAGCGACACTGACAGAGTACTTTGAGGGGTTGGATTCTGTTATTGAGTGGTTTGATGACCACCTTGGCACGGCTTGCATGAACCTCATTCCCTTGGTGCAGGCGGACAACAAGAGCATGGTTGTGCGACTGGCTGTTGTTGTCTTGAACGAGGAGAAAAATGATGATACAGTCCGAGCGTTGCAAGAGGCCCAGAAAGACCACAAAGATCTCGCAAGTCGTTTCAAGTCTATGAACATTGGTCCCAAGACAGTGCGGGGTTACAAGGACAAGTTCATCCAAGCTATTGAGCTTTACGCACAGGGCCAATTTGAGGAGACCCTCGAAAGCTTCCTTGCAGATCCAGACAATCTGGAAAAGAAATTCCGGTGGTACTTCAATGATCTGTTCACGGTCAAGCAAGGCATGCAGAGCCTTGTCCCGAAGAAATGGAAGATCTTCAGAACATACACCGATATCTATCATCAGATGATGCATGACTTCCTGCTCAGCATGATTGACGACACAGAGCTGCCAGCCGATAATCTGCTCAGTATCATCCACTGGAGCGACAAGTACTACAAGAAAATGAAGAAGCTGGGCTGGACAGCAACAGATCTCCAACCCAACATTCTCGACGACCGCGAGCCAGAACTAGTCCGAAAGTGGCAGGCCGTCATCATCAACGCCGTCGAAGAATGGATGGACCGCATTTTCAACGCAGACAAAAAATCCCTCGTGGAACGTGCCGCAGATGCCCTAGACAACAACGCAGAAGGCCACTTCCGCACCAAGACACTGGCCGACATGTGGCGCATGCTCCACGAACAAGTCATGGCATCAGGTGCATCAGACCGCGCGGACCTGGTAGAGGGCGTCATCGACGCCATGTTCCGGGTTTTGAAGGCCCGACAAACTGCATGGCAGACACTCGTGGACGAAGAATGCGCGAAGCACCAAGTAGAAGGCGCGGATCAAGAAGGCGTGCAGTTGTTGCAAGACTGGCTGATCGGCATAGCCAACGACCAGATTTCCTGCATCGACGACAACGAGGAGGACAACCAGTTAGGCTACCTGACTCGGTTCAAGTCCGATTTCGAGTCTATGGTCACACCGAAGTATATGGGCACCACGGCGACGATCGAGTTGGACGTACTGCGCGATGGCTACGTGGATCTGAGCACGCACTGCCTGGCGCAGTTCGTGAGCCTTGTCTTCTGGGTCGATCTGGACACCGTCCTGCCAGACTTCTTCACGTCCCGCTGGTACGGCGAATTCGCTATGAAACGTATTACCTCCACCTTCGAAGACTACATGGCGGACTACTCCTCTGTGTTGCACCCATCCCTGGCTGAAATCTTGGTCGAGGAACTATCGGACGAGTTGCTGGTGCGGTACCTGTCTGCGGTGCGCAACAAGGGTGTTAAATTCCGCCGCCACGTCGACCCCTTCACAGACAAGTTCAAGGACGACGTCCTCACTGTCTTTGCGTTCTTTGAGAAGTACCCCGACTCATTCGAGGGTACTATCAAGCAGAAGTGGCGGCTGGTTGATTGGCTTGTTCGTCTCCTTGCTACTGAAAAGGGTCCTGCGCTTGTGGAGGTTTACGAAGCATTCAAGCTTGAGTACTGGGATCTGCAGCTTTCGTGGGTTGAGGCTGTGCTACGCACCCGTGATGATTTCGAGCGCAGCATGCTTACCGCCATTAAGGCTAAGGCTGCGGAGTTGTCTGTTGAACGCGGACAGGAGACCATCATGAGTCGAGTGAGATGATTTCGTGGTACTTGACCGTGGGGGTTCTTTTAACCACGCTCATGTTCCCGTTCCTATCAACTCCATACGCAATTCACCGCGCTCGGCCTCATTTACGCCACTCTCACGAGACTTGGGCTGGCTTATTACAGGCCTGGCTTTTAATGTTCACTCAAAATCTTGCAGACATGTCTCAAGGAAAGGTCGTAGAGCCTCTCTTCGTTGCTTCAGCCGACGCCGAGATGCACTCTAACGCAACTTACTTCATGATGAGCAACCCCAACCACATGTACCATCCGCAACCCAAGCAGGCTTGGGATCTAGTCTACTCATTAATATTACTAGCAATACAGCAATGGAAGAACATCTTAAACAATTTACTTTTCTGATAAATATATCCAAGATAGGAATTCTATTTACATGGATCCTCCCCAATTGATCATTTTCTGCTGGATGCATGGGTGTTATATTTATGTAGGGGCGTTGTGTTCGACAATGGATGCGATGACAGTCATGGATTCAAGCTCCGTTCTGCAACGACTGTATATTTCTCGCCTAGGCGTTCATTCGGGCCATGGCCGTCGTTGGCACCAGGATACAATTTCCTAGCGCCCATTTCGCAGATGCAGATAGTATCCAGAGGAATTTCCTTTGCCCAAATGAAAGGATACCCTCGCGACGGCGGGAGAGCAGCGACCGAATGGCTTCTATGCTCGGAGGAAATACTGGTTTTGTCGGGGATTGGTGAAGATTTCGCACGGCGGTGGTCACTTTCGGTGTCTGCAGAAAATCTAGTAGGTGCTGGGTGCGGGATAGTTCGATTGTCATCAGAGTAGTAATTACGATATTGTGAGATCAGGTTGCGAGCATCAAATGTAAGGCGTTTGGGTGGACTGTTGCCCTTGGAATCTTTGTTCTGACCCTGTCGACCGCGGACGTAAATGGTGTTGACAAGAGTCGCGTGCAGGAGGAGCGGTCGTTGTTTTGGTTCTCGGGTTATTATAGTTATGGATGGGTCCTGGTTGCTCGACATGTCTAGGGGCTCGGAGAAAATTTGGCTTTCTTGTTGGTGTAAAGACACATCATGAGGAATGATAGTGGGCTCGGAGGCTTGAGGACTGTCTTGGACAAAGCGAGTGGTGGGCTTTTGTCTTCTTGCTGGTCTTCTGTCGGGCTCACTTTGGATGAAGCCAGCCTCGATGAATTTGTCACGTAGCTTTACGCAAAATGGAAGTAAACGGCCTGTAGGATCGACCGGGGAAGCATGTAGTATGGTTGATAATTTGCCTTCCGGTAAAGCATGTAATGACTCGAGAGAAACAGTCAAAGGCAACGATTGGGGAAGGGCGTTTTTCTGTTTTGTAGTGACTCGCTCCGTCTCGTTCATTAAGTCTGCTAGGTCGAGGGATTGGAAAAAAGCAAGAGCTTGATCGAGACGCTCTTTATTAGTGAGACTCATCACTCCAAGAGTAAGGTGCAGCGTGCCCAGAGGACGAAAGGCTGTGCTGGGAAGACCCAGGCGGGAGGTGTCCCCTTGGCCCTTGGATGATGACTGAGAAGCTGGCCCAGGTTCAGCGAGATGAGCAGTTTTAAAGGCGGCTAGCGATGATTCCAGCTGTGGCAGCGATTTTGTGTTCACCAGAGGGAGACAGAGGAAATGTGTCAATTGCGGCCGCTTTTGCCGCTTTTCTGGACGTGGTTTGCGGGGTTGATGTTTTGATAAGGCTGCAGTCTCCGTCATGATGCACCTGTATCTCCACGAATGTGAAAGTAGCATGAAAGTAAATAAATGTTCGCACGAGCCAGTCGCCGAAATCGTCTCTGGATAGTTGTTGCTAGGAAGAAGTCGGAAGTCCGAAGTAGGTAAGCTTAGGTTGATTTCTCGGGATGGTCAAGACGCACGGACCAAGATCCACAACCTTGTGTCAACTACGTCGGAATTATATTTGTGTTGGCCATCGTTGAGCTACAGGCCACACTAAGGAGGATGTTCAAAGCTTTCGGCATGATACTCGTATTGACAGACTATCTACTTACCAGACAATGCAGGTGATGAATGACTTTCGGGAAATATATCTTTCTTTTCGGGTCCCAAGGAAAGTCCCACGAGTCCGAAATACCCATATCCTGAGCCCATTCGATGGCTGGGGCAATCACCATGGCATCAAGATTGATGCTATCCCACATCTTGTCCGAGTGCGTTATGTTGTCTCCGTTGTATTCGGTGTGAAGGAAGTATTGGATCGGGACATCAAATGCCATTCCCACTAATTATCCACGGACGTTAGAATTGCAATATGCTTTTCGGAGGAACATACAGCCACTTACTATAAGGAGATCGATTATTTTCGGGGGTATTGCAAGATTTAATTTCTTTACTTTGGCCATTAGGCTTACTTTGAAGCAAAATCCACCATAAGTTGAGTGTTAAAGATACGAACAGTACTACAATGAGTAGAAATGTTCCCCAGCATCTTATTCTCGATAATTTTTTCAATGGTGTATTACTTTGGATGGGCACGGAAATATTATTTGGGGCCTGTGATGGAAAACTAAGATGAGATGGTCATCCATGCATGTTATGTATAATTGGAGATAAAATAAACTTCATCTTCTCTCTCTCCTTCTCTGCCTCTCTCTAAAATCCCCAACCATGGTAGCCACGGATTTCGAAGTTCGAGAATCACCACAAAAGATGAATTTACACATAAAATGTGGAAGAAAAGAGGGAGAGACGAGGAAGAGACGAGTGAGAGAAATGGGGAGGAAGATGAAAAGTAGAATGAGTGGTATAACCCTAATCTTGGTATAAACCCATGGGTGCTTAGTTGATGACGCCTATCAACGTAAAAGAGACTGCCCAACTGACTTCTCATCTCACTTATCACCATTCCACTATATTCCAATATGGGTAATCACCACACATTTCCACTCCTCACAAAGATGAAATCTATATTCCAACGGTATCAACGACCAGCCCAACAGAATACCCAACAGAAACCCCTACCAGTCGACAATTTCCAAAAGCTACCACCAGAACTAGTGGAAATACTCTTCACATTCCTCTGGGTCACGGATCAAGTTTGCTTCGCGCTCACTTGCAAATATCTCTTGGCTTGCTACCAGTCATTTCTTCGCGTGCGTAAAACGGGGGTTACTGAGCTCCTATGGCGTGAACCAGTTTCTGAATCGCGTTTGGTTTGTCAACTTCAGAATGACCGTTGGCGATACTGCTGGTGGTGTTATAAACTCCACCCATTCTCTAGACGGAGAGCCTTTCTACACATGTGGGGATACAGAACAAAGTGTTGTCCTGCTCGTGACCTAGTCGGTTGGACGATACCTGATATTTGATGGAAATGCAAAGCTGCCGGACTACCTATATTCCATTGGTCTAACTACCATGCCGGTGTTCTTCTTCGTGCGTCGTATTCCACGATACCATGTTGAGAACGTTCACAGATGGGAATTGGGGTATCTAAGTGTCTCTGATGACTAAAGGCGCTAATTGGCGTTGCTCTGATAGTGTTGTCATGGCAGAGGAGAGAATGAAAATCGGGGATGTGACAGTGAATGAACTGCCCAGATACCTAGGTAGGTATTACAGTTGACTGAAATTTGACGAATGAAGGCAGTCAACATCTTCTGAAAGTGGAATTCTGCCTATGATTGACAGTGTGTGCGAGATTACCCAAGGTGTTCTATGTTGCTTCTTGTTGTTTACTGCTTTTGCAAGTGAGAAACCCGTGGACTACAAACTGGATCACGTCCAATTGCTACCTTCCTCTTTCTAATTATTCCCCAATTCTATCTCGAAAGACAGTCATTAGGAGTACCCATACTGCATCTTGTAATATAGGCTCAGTTTATTGAAGGCCAGGTCACTTTGTTGTATAATGTTCAATTTCGATTTATTTACATTGAATCTCCCAATTCCGCTTCTGTAACTTGACTGTTGCCACCACGCTATCCATAATATTCGACGATTCGCTCGGTGAGTAGCAAGATGAGTTCGCTAATTGCCTTGTCAACCTGTGGGGTATTGACGCTGCTCCAATGAATAGCCCACCGAACTCTCCGTGTGAGTGATGTTGTCCATAGGCAAAATTAAACAACGATAGTTTTCGCAAAGGTGCTGTGTTGGAGGTGCTGCTGCTGTAGCTTTTTCTGGCTTCTGATGGTGGTAGTGGTGATGGTGGTGTTATTACCTTCCTTTTCCTCTTCCTTTTTTGTTTGCTTTTGCGATGGTGTTTTGCGATAAAGGTGCTTGTCCGGTCATGTTGCAGGGCCGGATCTGCTATGCAGTTTTGCGTTTGGCTGCAGATAGATGGCTTCGCTCGTAATAACAGAGTTTCCAGATGCCCAGGTTACAACGACTTGATGATGAATTCCACATGTCGCCGCCATCAAACCTTTGAACGGCGACCACAGTCATGTCCCAGAAGAATTCTCAAATTTCAGAGAAATTCAAGGAATCCACCGTTTGTCCTCGGCTGCATCCAGGTGATCAAAACGCTGACTTTTGTGTCCCAAAGCCCGTTTGCCAAGTCATGCATTGTAATCTTTACTGGAGCCGAGAACATATTGTCAGGAAAAGGATCTGCGCAGTCCCCCTACTGATCACCCAGCCCATTCCAAGGACAATCTTGCAAGCGACCGAGACAGGCTCCACCCATCCAGCCAACCTCGGGAACTCACTTCATCGCGCTTGCAGATTATCCCTGTGATAAGTAGGCCCAGCGAAATGGGACTGGTCTCCGAAACTTGACCGTAGTCTCCGTCCTGTGGCTCAAGTAGAGACAATAGAATATTCACCACCATACCACTGTAACCCAGCAGCGAATCGACACACACAAAGCAGGCAAGACTCAACGTCGCTTTCTGGTCGCAGGCAGAGCACCGAGGGAGTTTCGAGTGTTGTTGGAAGAGAATCAACCGTGTTAAGAGAAAACAGATCTGGCTGTGGTTAGCCAATTGTACGACTTTAAGGGTATGGCGTGGAATCTCACTTGGGCAAGATCAATCAGATGTCGAGTTGAGCAGTAAGCAGGTTTGAGTGACAAGCAAATTTGGGTCGGTGAGCAGATTTCGTCGGGTTGGCGGCTGGTATGGACCTGGAAACTCAACAAGCGTCAGCAAAAGCTGGTAAGGCCCATCATCGCAGAACTCTATCTAACTATCTAAGGAGGTTGGTTTGTGGAGGTTTTCCGTCTGAGTTTTATTCAACCTCCTTTCCATGTGTTGTCCGCTCAGGAACCTTACCTGAAGATGCAGGAGTGTACGGTTGCTCTGTGTTGTATGTTGGAGAGATCGTTGCAGAGCACTGAGTTGCAAGCAAGCTGGAGCAGACGGCGCGGATATGGGGATTCCTGGTAAACGCCAACAAGCGTCAGCAAAGCTGGTGAGATCCCATCGCAGAGTCCTATCTAACTATCTATGGAGGTGGATTTTGGGGGAGGCAGTGCTCGACCTCCTTTACATGTGGTGTTCGCTCAGGAACCTCACCTGAAGTTGCAGTGTGCGGGTGGCCAGTGCATAAATGGCCAGGATACCCTGCGCGGGAAATTCACTTGGAGTGGCCCCGGCAGATGTTGCTGGTCGGCTGTTGAAATCGAGGCGCCCGGAAGGACCAAGTAGCTCTGGACATAACTTGGAGCAAGCAAGTTGGCAGTCTTTGCTAACTTGGCTATGGGTATGGAGGTGCCTGGTAAAAACCAACAAGCGTCAGCAAAAGCTGGTGAGATCCCGTCGCAGAACTCTATCTAACTATCTGTGGAGGTTGGCGTTGTGCATTCAACCTCCTTCCCATTTGTGTCCGCTAGGAGACCTCACCTGAATGTGCAGTGTGCGGATGGAAGCTTTGGCCTTTGGTTTCGACAAAGTTGACGTTGACCTTGATGATGACGGCGATCAAAATAGCATGGCTTGTATGGCCAGTGTAACCCACATTGCAGGCTGTAGTCATGTTTCATCACGCAAGGCCCTGTTCGATACGGCAAAGGAGACACGGAGGCAGAAATCCCTAAAGGCAGAGGATAAAAAAGTTTCCCTGCGTCAGCCAATGGACTGGTGAGGTCTTCCACTCGTGGTTGCGAGCCAAAAGAACCCTAGGGGTTGATGTAACTCTGGAGTTCTCACCTGGTATAAAGATTGAACGCCACTGTGGAAGTCCTCATAGTAGAAGGTATAGAAGGCAGAGAAGGTGGAAATCCCTCGAAGCAGAGGAAGAAAAAGTTTCCTTGCATCAGCCACTGGACTGGTGAGGTCTTCCACTCATTGCGAGCCAAAAGAACCATGGGGTTGATGTAACGCCGGAGTTCTCACCTGGTATGAATATCGAAGGCCACATTGATGTAAGCTGGACTATGCAAGGTGGATGGACTGTGTTGATGGCAAGATGGTTGGAAGTGTTCGAGATGGAAGGAAGGCTAGAAGCCAGAACGTGCTGAGATCCCTAAAAGCAGAGGAAGAAAAAGTTTCCCTGCGTCAGCCAATGGACTGGTGAGGTCTTCCACTCGTTGTTGCGAGCCAAAAGAACCCTGGGGGTTGATAACGCTTGAGTTCTCACCTGGTATGAAGATCGAACACCACTGTGGAAGTGCTTAATGGTAGCAGGGTAGAAGACAGACAGGCAAATATCGAATCCCTAAAAGCAGAGGAAGAAAAAGTTTCCCTGCATCAGCCACTGGACTGGTGAGGTCTTCCACTCTTGCGAGCCAAAAGAACCGTGGGGTTGATGTAACGCCGGAGTTCTCACCTGGTGTGAAGATCGAACGCCACTGGGCGAGATGAAAGTGCTCATGGTAGTAGGGTAGAAGGTAGAGAAAGCACAGATCCCTAAAAAGCAGAGGAAGAAAAAGTTTCCCTGCGTCAGTCAATGGACTGGTGAGGTCTTCCACTCTTGCGAGCCAAAAGAACCGTGGGGTTGATATAACGCTGGAGTTCTCACCTGAAGCATGAAGAGTCACCATGTGGTCATTGGCCCCTTGAGCAGAAAGAACATTCAAGCAGAGTCGACATGCATCACAAGCATGGACTGATGTTTTTGTCTCTGCAAGTTATTAGCTGAGTAACAGGACAACGGGTTCCAACATTGTTCATTGCTGTGGGCCATGAAAGAATGATAAGTATAGATGGATGATGAGGTATCAGGAGGTAGACATGAGGCCATGGAACCAATGCAATACCACAAGGTGATGAAACAGAACTATGAAGTAGTAGGGATGGAGCAAGAAGGGGAAGGGAAAGGAGAGACAACAAGGCGAGGCGTGAAACAGCCCAGACGTCTCAAGGCATAGAAGTGGAAGGAACAAAGGGTGGAAGGAACAAACGAGGGAAGGTACTCACGGGCAGTCAACATGGTCCAGATGACGTGACTAGCTGGGGGTCACCAAGAGAATCATCATGCAAACACATCGTAGAGACGTAGGAAAAGAAAGAGGGGTGCAGAGAAAATGGCCATGAAGCCATGAATGATGAAGAAAAAGTCCAAACCCCCCAGGGGGGATGCAAAATTGATGGAAGGTGGATGGAAACATGGAAGGAAGATAGATGTAGGAGGAAAGAAAAGATTGGGAGAGAAGAGAGAGAAGGAGGGTATTTATATGTTGAAGCTGCGGGGTGAAGCTGAGGTCCTTCCGTTTTGGGGAAAGTAGTTGTTGTCGCAAATAGGGAAGGTACCACCCTAAGTTAACGCGTCCCATGTCTCGAGACACTGGGTATACAGACGACCTATCCGAGAAGATGCGACACCGTATTCCAGCAGGCAGTCTAGAGAGTCCAGAATAGCCCATTAGGAAATATCAATATTTAGCTAGGTGTATTGAGTATCCTGTAGAGTATTATAGAGATATGCAGCCATCTATGGCCATCTGGGGAGACGAGACACAACGCCTTCTGAAGATGGAGACTAAGCCTAAATCTGAGATCACATGGACACGTTACCAGGTAGACATCAGTCCAGCACTCGCCTAATACACATCCGACGCCGAAGATATTGTCAGAATACACTGAGCCATACAAGCAGTACTTATGAGATGGTGACGCAGGTGTTCACGGGACTATTCGGTAGAGAATACCTTCAAACGAGATACTAGAAAAGACAACAGAGTATTCTGTTATGCACTCTACCCAACGTCATTTCTACCGAGTGAACTGGGTATTCAGATTATCGAAGTCCTACGTTGTCGAGGGCAAGGCCAGACAAGCGGCCGACTACTTGTATATAAGACGTGGAGTATGTGTAGTCTTCATTGCATGCTAAGAATGATATTCAGCAAATATCAGAAAAGGTTAATACAACAGTGTGTAAACGCTGGAGGTGACTGAATGGCCTCCGCAGCATAATGAGTTTTGGTAGACAAGTAGAGAACGCATAGCATAGCAGGGTATCAAATAGCTCCAAATGTCGATTTCATAGTAAAAGGTACATGTAGGAGACGACGGAGAGCCCAAGTCCCGGGGCCCCTGGCAATGACACTCATGAATCCTTCTTCTTGCGACCCTCGACAACACGCATAATATCCGTGACGCTATCTTTGTCACCCTTCTTCTTCTTGGGGCCACGCTTTCTCTTTTTCCCGCCTCGCTCGTCGTCGTCAAAGTCGAGCAGGGGACCATCGTCCTCTTCCTCTCCGTCTTCGTTGCGGCTTCCTCCGAATCCCATATCCATATCTGCAGCATCCATAGCCTCTCGGCGGTGTGCCTCTTCAATGAACCGCTTGTGACGAAGGGCTGTCTCAGAAGACTCGTCTGCGTGGCCCTCTGCTGAGGGAGAGCTTTGTCGGAGGGCTGCAGCTCGTTTGAGGGCAGCAAGAATGGTTGGATCTTTGGTGAGGGGGTTGGATCGGTCGACAGGCTCCTCTTCTGCTGTAGTCGAGGTTCCAGTCGTAAAGTAGTTCTTGGGTTTCCCAGGTGCTGTTTCAGAGGCGGCGGGTTTCTTCTCTTCAGTCATGGGAGCCTTTTCAGGTTTGCGAGTAGCCGACTCTGCCATTTCACCATCTTCATCGGACGATGACTCGTCTTCGAGACCAGCGAGGGGATTGTAATCATCACCGACACCAGCAAAAATGTCGTCATCTTCGGGTTCCTCTTGTGCAGCAGCACGGGCAGCAATATCAGCTGGAACGTCCATACCGAGCGGTTTGAGACTTTCATCGGGCATCATGAGGTCTCCTTCGGCAGGCACAGGTGCTTCAATGGGCTTATCAAGCCACCTAGTCTTCCTCTTCGTATTTCCTTGCGCATCAGTAATGAGGAGGACTTCACGTCGACGGCCGGTCTCATCACGCTCTACAAACCGCTTCTTCTCCGGCTTTCCATCGCTCAGCTTCTTGAATTTTGAGCCGAGTATCGACTCCGGCGGCGGAGCAGGCGCAGCAGCAGCAGCACGGCTTGCCCTCAATTCCCGCAGGATTTCATCGCGGGTCTTGGGCCTAGCAGGCGGCGGTGCCATGGTCCCCTTCTTCTTTTCTTTCTGTTGCTTTGGTGCAGCAGCAAGCTCCTCAAGTCCCTTCTCTTCCATCATACGCTCGAATTCCTCATCTACGTCTTCTTTTTCGGGGAGCGGCGCAGGCTTTTCGGCCGCTTGCGACACGTCCTCACCAGCTCTGATCCTCTTCAACAAATCCATATCCAGTCCTTTGACCATGTGTGTGCTCGCGATGTCACCTCCGACTCCGAGGTCTCGGCGGAGTTTGTCGAAGGTAGCCTGGTCGATTTGTCCCAACTTAACCATATCCTCTAGTGCCTTTATGCGCGCCTCTAGACCCGTGCTGCTCTCACTTTCGTCCTCTGCATTGCGCAATTGGGCACGATCCTGATAGCCGGTCGGTAGCGATGTACCCTTCGGCGCAGCGGAGGACTTGAATCGCTTGGAAGGTCGATCGCCCTCGCGGCGTTGGTCGAAGAGCTGGCGGGCAAAGTCCACACCAGTGACTGAGCGTCTGTAGTAGTGCCACAGCTGTTAGCTTCCTCCGGAATCATAGCAACCTGTGAAATCAAGCGACGTACGGGGTCATGGGAATACTGGACCGCATTCGCGACCCCAGTGACCCGCCTGGGGTTGCGCCGCCACGCGGTGCATCGCGACCAGGCGCTGGGCTCTGGTCCTTGAGTTTTGACGATGACTGGTCGGCTAGCAGCCGGCGAAACTGCTCGTTATTCATGGTTCGTGAGCTTAAGTTGCCTGGAATTGAAGTCAAAAAAAAGGCTATGTCGAGAGGTGAAGATCCGGCTTGGCACTGATAAGATAAGACTATCAACTTATCACATTCGGCCCTATCTAGGTAAGAACGACAAGCATTTCATTATAAAGACAATTTAGGTAAGTCGCATCTCTATTTTCCATTTTTACTTCCCATTTTCCTGATAAATGGCACTGCCCAGTATATATGAATTGATGGGCGGGCATTTGGTTAGGATTCCAGGTTTGACGGGATTGTGTCTAATAAGCACAGATCGATATCCTGGCGATTGACTGTATCCTTAAACCCGGCCTTTACTGTATCAATAGCAACAAGAAACAAAAACATACAACAGTGAGGATTCGCTGGTGGTCACCCACCCAACTACTAACTCACCGGCGTGTGGCTTGAGTACGGCTGAGCGGACGGGAAGCCCTATTTTCCACACCCTATGGTCGTATGTATCATTTTACGTGTGGGAGCAGATTATGGCATGTAGCTTATAATGATACCCGTATCTTGACCTAGTTCCCGAGGATATATATAGATATATAGCCGGGGGGCTTTCTGATTCAAAGGAGGGTGGTTTGTATCAATCACCTTAGTAATCTTTGGTATAAACTCGACTTCACAATTTCTCGCTCGTCTCGATCCTAACCTTAATAAGTTTATAGGCCTAGCGGTTGTCGTTGGCGACATTTGGCGCACTGCCTCTTGGATCCCCGTCCATCCTCAGCTTGTTGAGTGACGTTTGATCTCAAGCTGCCGGATCGCCTACGGGCGATGGCTTTTTTTTTTTTTTTATTTTTTTATTTTTTTATTTTCCTAATCTTATCTATTATTTTTATTCTTTCCTAACCTTCCTTGGAATGATAACCACGCATGCAACTAAGCTAGCTCTAAAACTGCGACTTACGCAATCTATGGGTATCCACAGGCCGCCATACTTCGCGATAGTGAATCAGCGCTGAGGACTTTCATAAACTCCAACATGGTCTTCACCATCAGAGAAGGATTGTCTCAACTCGACTGTCGTTCATTGGAAGAGACACGCCGAGCGACATGGCGCTACTAGATGCTACCAGTCGAGGTCCCCTAGGTGAGTCCTGCTTTGGACAGTTTGGCGGATTATATACTACAAGTGAACGAGATTGACAGTAAGAGTTCAGAATATAAAGTGTGTATTGGGTATCAATATAAATTCATAGCTGCACGTATTCATACAGGAAAGTGAGCAGAAGAGATATATATCCATCTCAGGTCACCTTGCTCAGCTCAAAAGCCTATGCGTACGAGTCATGAAGGTTTTAGCAATTTCAATGTTTTCCCTTAGTACAAAAATCGAGGAGAGGGAGCGAGAAATAAAACGCGAGTGTTAACTTCCCAGTAGAAAAATATAAGGAGGAATATATGTAGCAAAACAAAATCATGTTAATACATACATAATGTAGGCTCTGGGGATCGCGATAATAAATTCACAAATCCAATCCAAATTCGACTTGAACGTAGCCTGGTATTTTTGAATCATAACTACCAAGTGAACCTATTGATGAAAAGCATGTCCGATATACAGTGAAAAAGAGATGAAAACATGGTAGAAATGCATAATAACGAAAGGAAACGAAAAAAGCGGCTAAACACACAATCACGATCGTTTCCAATTCGCCATCGAAAATTCAAAAGTAAAGGATCTAAGCGCACACACATCAACAATCGCAAAAAAAAACCTCATTTTTATGTTCATTAGATAGTCTCCCAGCCTCCGCTGTTAATCTCGGACTCCAGCTTGCGGCTGATAGTCGCAGGGATCGAGTGTGACAGCCAGACATCGCGCAGTAGCCGGTCGTATCGCTTCTGGTTGAGGATCAGCTGGCGGTTGCGACGGAGACCGGGGTCGACTTCGCCGTGGCGGTCGAGGTAGGGAGCGTAATGCCAGGATCCGTTCGTGTTGTGCAGGTAGAGAACCGTGCATTTGCGAATATTGATGAAAAGACCAATGTTTTTGCCGCATCTATTATGGAAGACTGATTAGCTGGAGAGTACTTGTAAACGAAGTGTGAGGGTATAATGACTTTTGAAGATGTTGGTTGCAGCCGCCAAGTTTGTTTGACATGCAGCAGACTGCCTGTGAGCAGAATATTTCTCCGCAGAATAAACAGATACTGGGATCGGTGAGCTCCTTCTTGGAATTGGGGCAACGGCGACGGTTTGCCTCTTCGATCAGGCTATCGAAGTACTTAGGCAGGCCAACAAGCTCGAAGATAGCAGGGTGCGACAGACTGGGCCAGAGACGGTGGTCTTCGAAGCGGATGCCTGAGCGCGAGGCGTTCCAGTGGAAGATCCATCCTGAAATAACTGCGTCGAAGGGGCTGTTTGTCTTGCGTGCGGGCTTGACAGACATGAGAATCTCATCAAGGGAAGGCAGTTGAAGTGCTTTGGTCAGACGCTCAAGCTCAGAGGACTCCACATCAGCGAATCCTGTATTGGGGAACTCGACACCGTGCTGAACATGAAGAAGGATAACTGCCTTGCGGAGGAATGCTAGTCCGTAGCTCGTAACAAGTCGCCGGACGGCAATAATGATGCTTGGGGTGGCAGTTTCCTCTCCATCCTTGACGTATCCACTCTCAGCGGGGAACGAGGAGCCCTCAGCACGGCCGACAGAGTTTGCCTTCAGTTCAGCAACGATCGAGTCGAAGAACTGCTTGGTCACTCCGAATTGTTCTTCAGATACATCAGCAGCCATAGTATGGTCCTCGGGATGGGTGGCGAGTTCCTCCTTCAATCCCAGTGGCCAAAGAATGAAAGTGACAGCGACCTTAACAATCTCAGCCACGAAGCACATCCGCACAAGATGCCTGATATCAATATTGAGGACTGGAAGCAGAGACAACGATGATTCTGCAAAGAACACAAAGGTATCCACAGCAAGCAGAGGCTCGATGTTACGGACATCATTGAGCAAAGCTGTGCCGCTCAAACAAGGGTGCCCGACAAGTAGCTGGCAGATCTTTTGACGATGCATCTCCTGGAACTCATTTGTTGTGCGGCTTTTTGATGGCCCCGTCGAGTGAAGACACCCAACAGCAGCATATGTCAACACCGTCTCTGATAGAACGCGCAGATGGGTAAGCGTTAACGAAGGAATTGTGTCGAGCAAGGTCGAGCCAGGCTCTGACTCAACACCACGCTGCGCGATCTCAACTGCAGCAATGCTGAAACCAAAGCTGCGAATTAGAGAATCAGTATGTACAAGATCTTCATTGCCATTCGCCTCAGAAGTGTTGTTGAAAATCGAATTGACATGGTTTGTCGTGAGTGTCTTCTTGAGTCGCCTATAGCTCTGAAGCAGTTCCGACATAGGGCTGTCCGAGGGACTCGACACCTGCTGAAGTGGGCTGGAAGGCGCGAGGTCTTCGGTGGGAGGGAAAACACCTGGCATTGGCATGCGCGCTGGCGTGATGTATTGTGCAGAGGCAGTTGCTGGGAAAGACGAGGCTCTCAATTGATCAATACTATTAGAAAGCGGAGGAACCAGGGTCTTAGACAAGTAGTCAATAAAGATGTCGGTATATGGTTGAGGATAGGCTTTCTCCTTCTCCATGAGGACTGGGAAGTTCTGCGGTTGATTCAATGAGTGCTTGAGGCCTAGTTGAATCCACTGGTCGAATGATTCAGAGGAACTAAGCGGAACAAGGGGAGACTCTTCCTTGCCCTTCCAGGAGATGGGGAGGAATGCATTTCCAAGAGCTTTGCAGAGAGGACAGACAAACTCCTTGAGATTAGTGTTCTCGGGATGGTGACGAGCAATCTGCTGGGTGTGTCGCCGCTGTGTTGCCGTAAAGTACTGCTCAAAACAGGAGTAATGCATTATGTGCCCACAACCAGTAGTCACAGGCCCACGAAGAGTACTCTTTGCGTTGAACCCTTTGCTCAGTCCAATTTTTTCGCTAATGACTTCACCACCAGAAGAGTCAAGACGCTTGATGGTAGTATGGTTCTCTCCGGATACACCAAATGGCCGCACTTGTTCAGCGGACCTGTCCAGACTTGTGGGTGTTCTGAGCACCTCACGAATCCTATCGGAGTCCCTGATATCGGTCTGTCGCAGAATTGTGCTGTCTTGAACTAAGGCAAAGGTACCGTAGAGCCTCGAATCGCTGGTCTCTTCCTGGCACAAGATACATGTTCCGCTAGGGTACTTCCATAGCTTCTTTAATGGGGTAGCGTCTGTATCGGACTCGATGTCGCTGAAATCTTCTTCGCCCCAGTCGATGTTACCCTGACTGTTCAAGAATTGTTGCTGCTGCTGCTGGAACTGCGCCATCACCTTGGCTTGCCTCTCCAGTGCTTGCTTCTTCTTGACCTCCCTGTCGTTGTCTGCGTCAATTGCGGGAGAGTTGGTGTCAATTCGGTCGAAGGGGAATTTGAGAGACGCAGTTGCCGATGAATACGTGCGAGGGCGCTTTTGCCATAGACGTTTGAGTATGTGTCGGATTTTAGGGCCAGATGCGGTGAATTCAGTCGTGACGGAAATTCTCTCCAATAAACCGACGATGGTCAAATGGCCGGCCTTGATCTCTCGCGTCTTTGACAAAGCGTTCCAGTTGAATGAATTGGAATGCTCTTCTACCATATCATTTTCCTCGGAATTATCTTCCAGCACTGCTGCAAGGATAAGATGCAGAATCACTTGAAGGAAAGTCTCAACACGTGTCGGTGGGATAGTTGGTGTACATTCTTTTGATGAAATAACGTATTCCAAGCATTGGTGAACAATCTGGGCAAACAGCATCGTTCCGGCGAATCGGGGGAGATCTGAGAACACGCCGGAGCTGATGGGTCGAAGTTTTGGCTCAAAGACAATGTCAGAGGCATTCTTGCCTGTCTTTTTCGCCATCCATTCCTTGTAAATATTCTCTGCTTCGTCTCTTTGGTTCTTTGTATAGTGTGCGCTGTATGGATCAACAAGATCGAGATGTTCGGGCTTCAATTCGAAAGTACCAGAGTCACTCAAGCCCTCGGGTGGGCGGAAGTTGGCGACATCTTCCAACACATCTTGGAACATGTCCGAGTCTAGAAGCTTGTCACTAAGGCGGGTTGAGAGGTCGGAGAAAGACAGCGGCTTGAAGCACAAGACATGAGCGATGTCACGTTTGATGTTTTCATGGGTGAGGTGAGTGCTGTCATCGATGGCAGTCAAAGATGTTCGATCCGTCAGGAGGATCACCAGTAGATGAACAAATTCCTCTGCCACATCCACAATCTGGGTATCTTCGTATCCAGGACGGGGCATGTAGTTACGAGCCATCCACTCAACCATGCCAAAGCGGTGTGCAATGGAAGCAAGAACTCTGCTAGGATCACAAGTAACCAGGGCAGTCTGGAGAAGGAAGATATCTCTGTAGTAGGCAAAGTCACGAGAAGAGACTCCACGGTACTGCGACATTTGGTGCCGAAGACTGAGACCATTGCGAACCCACATGCCAGCCTTCATTTGCGCCAGCCAAGCGCAAACTCGGAGTGGATAGTCAAACATGGCCAGAAGCAAGTCCTCCGGTCCAAGGGCAATCAAAACATCATCAACACTACTAGGGTTCGCAGTCTTGGCGGCATGGATCTCACTCCTCGCCGCATTGGCAGCGTCAAAGAGAACGTCGCGCATAGTCTCGCTGCTTATGTCTCGTCCGCATTCAATAAGCCATGACAATGTGTAGTGAAGGGCGTGGTGGAAACTGATAGATCCACGTTCCACCACGAATTCAACCACCCGGTGGCAGGGGACTTGGCCAGAGGCGCCGACCTCAAAATCGAAAGGTGGCAGCAGCTTGAATCTTACTTCATCCTTTATTTCTGCTTGGTCGAACCGCTTGCGTTCTACGCCAGCTGAATGGAGAATCGCAGTAGTGGTGGTGGTCTCGATTGCCCTGAGAAGGTTGTCACCGTTGTCAATTTCAGGGTTGCGGAAAGACTCGCAGAATTGGCGACAAAGTCGGTTGATCTCCCGCATGAGAATTGACGCACTGATCCAAGCATCCGTCTCATATTCAACGTGTTCACCAACAGCGCGGACATTAGGGCAAATACCCTGTGACAGCTTGACGAGATCAAGGAATTGAGGAAGATATTGTTCCTCAGTCCGCACACGGTGCTGGACATATTCAGATTGGAGAAGGTATCGGAGGTCAAGGAAGAAGTGGTAGAGACGTCTGTTTGTAACTGAGCCAGCATCGAATGCCAGCGTGGCGTTGGGGTTCACGGATTGTGGTTCACCAACTTGTCTCGTAGTCAGGAAAGTATAGAGAATAGACATCACCTTTGTGAGGAAGTTGCCTCGCACAACAATCTCTTCGGTGATGGATGGGGTTGTGAGAAGCTGCAATGAAAGATTGACAATCGAGTGGTCCGGCTCTCGATCCGCGATGAGGTAAAGTTGAGCCAGAGCCGTGTATAACGCAGACAAACGAAGACCCATAATGCGCTTGAACTGAGGAACATTGACAACAGTGCTGATGTAGAGATCACGCAAGTCGGTTCGTGTCTTCTTCCACAACCTCAAGTCATAGAGCACCAGCCAGTCTAGGCGAGTACGCTGCCACAGGTCTTCATACGGAGGTACCTTTTCACCTGGAGCGGGAATAGACGGCCGGACTTGCCAGTGACTTTCTGTGTTCGAAGGCCTTTGCCGATGCGAACCAGGAGTCTTAGGAATGGGGATATAGCCAGTAGGGGCGGATTCAGGGCCAGGACTTTGAGATGCAGACGGGCCTCGTTCGGCAGAGGACCGATCTGCGGTTTGAGCCGGTGCTGGTCGAGGAGGTGGCGGCTGGGTGCCAGTGAGTCCGGCGAGAATGCGCTCTGCTAGAGCAAGTTCCTGGTCTGCACCTGCCAAGAGCATATCTTCGTCTTCTTCCTGATCACGAGTGAGTTCGATGTCCATTTCATCGTCATCTTCATCATCAGCATCGTGGGCCTCGACATAGTCTTCGTCTTCCTCTTCGTCTATAACATCGTCGTCAAGCATATCATCTTCGTCATCGTCGGCGGTCAAGAGGACCTGACCATGGTTAGGCAAATTAATCATGAGCGTGCGACCTGGAAGGTTCTCAGTCCGCTGATGATCGTCAATGCCCTTCATGCCGATATCTTCGTTATATCCCCCACTGCCCTTTTTCCAGGGCGTAAGCATTTCCTCACAAATGATTTCTCTGATAATCTCATTGTCCTCGAGGATTTCACAGCCGGCAATATCAGCCAACCACTCCACTATAGTTGTGCACATTTGCTCGCGGAAAGTATCACGCGCAGAGCGCACCGTGACGGTAACCTTGATCTCCTCAATTATCTTAGAAACGCCTAAGAGTCTGTTCAGGTCCTTCGAATACTTTATCACACTGCGGCCCATATCGTTTGTTTCATGAGCCCGCGCAACGCCAAAGCTATCTCGTTCACGACAAGCACGCGTGACCTGATGAGAGACATCGCGAATTGTATGCTTCTCATCATTCCACAGCATGACCGCAAATTCAGGTTCTTCTTCCTCTTCATCGCCAGCGCCATACCGGTCCGGACGCAGCCGAGAGGCTTCCTCATCTTGCCTGATGCCCTCGACAGTTTTTGGCAGCCGCAATTGCTCCGGGGAGCAAGAGATAACATCACAGAAGTAGTCGAGCACACGGGATATAGTCAAGCGGATCGAGGCCACAAGCTCAGAAGGCAGTACCCGCTGCGCCCGTTCCTTGCCCTTGGTATTACCACTATCGGTATGAATTGCGCAAAATAGCGGAAGGCGCCATGCTTCGTCATCACCACAGTCACAGCAGCCACAGTTTCCGGAGGAAAGCGAAATCTGATATTGATGTCCGGTGTGATCCGAGGAATCGAAGCATCGACTGCACAGCACGCACGTATCATCTGCGGCACAGGTCACGCATCGGTATGTGGCTTCCCCAGCACGGAAGATATGACCGCAGCGCTTGCCCCGCGCTGCCTCACTGTACTCGGCCCCTTCCCGGGCACCTTGAGCCTCCGCCAGTTTCCATGGTCCGGCTGGAGTTCCTTCTGGGAACAGCTGTTGTAATAGGTCTGTGTTGTGTCCGACAAGCGATCGGAAGAGAAGCTCTAGTAGGTCCTTCTCGGCAGCGGGGCCATAGCGGAAGTTGTGTTTCTTGGGCAAACGGAGAAGACCATCACCGAGCAGCTTCTCACAATCCCCCAGCATGAGCATGATTTGTTGTTGTGGCCGGGTTATCGTAGCGGCCGCTCGGGCTATCACAAGTGGGTGATGGAACGGAGCGCCGTTGTCGCGACAATGCGCTCAAGGTAGTAATGGTCCGACGCAGGTGGTTTCTTCGCGGGTATGCAGGCGGAAAAGAAATTTTCAAGTGAGAATACAAGAGATCGGTCTGGATCGAGTCGATAGAGTTCTCAGATGTAGTTCACGTTACTCACACACTGATACTTTGTGGTGGGGGGAAAGTGAGAGCAACGGGTGAAGGTGGACCAATGCAGGCGAGCAGATCAGCAGAGATACGGTAAAGTCATACGCGATGGAAATTTGAATGTGGAGCTTAAAGTCCAAAAGGTCAAAAAAATACAAAGTACAAGAGATCAAATTAAAAGTCGTTTGTAGAGAGAAGGTAACATTTTTCGCTATGACATCGATGGAACCGGTCTGTCAGTAAACGCCACAGCCACGCTACGACCTGATCACCTACAGAAAACACGCCACCGTTTGAACACTTGAAGTTATAAAAAAGACAACAGTGAACAGTCGCTTATGGACTCTATAAATCCAATTCATCTAGCTAAGGATGTTTATATGTGAGAAGAACACCAATGTGCTTTTGAATGTTCGTTTTAGATGTCTTTCTAGATGTATACGAAAGCGGTAATAAGCATCAACCGTACAGACTTTTCTACGTATAACCAGGGATTGAAAGTCAAAATACAGATTTCCATCTATCGCATACAAGCCCACATATGGGATGAGAAACAACAGGCACGAGCTTCGCTGGCTTTTCCATGCCCCTTTACCCGCGGTAAAATATACCCAACATCACTTTCGGCAAGTGCATTTACTCGTCATCCTCCTCCTTAACCAAATAACGGTGCTTGATGTCCTTCCATTGGCGCTGTAAAGTGAGAGAAATAGTCAGCGTGGGTCCTAGCCTCGGGTATTGTAGTCCATCGGGAAAGAGGTTCACATACGCCCTGGTTCCAGCTGTCCCAAACCTTGTTGGAGGTGATGTCGAAGGCACTATTTTGACGTTGCATGGTCAGTGTTCTGTATAAAGTGCACAGCATGTCTTACATGCTTGGAGACTGGATGTAACCCACAGCTCAAAAGCGAAGGCGCCGGCAAAAGCAGTGGTCAGGAGAACAGTGTTCTTGCGCATGAAGGTCCTAAACACAGCGAAGAGTGCCTCAGTTAGATTTCAATTGGACGATTTCGATCGCGATCGTAGGACCTAGAAAGGGGAGACATGCGAGTAGATAACGTTTGCGAACTGTCATGCGAGAGGTCAGTCAGTACTGGACATAGCAGTGCAAATGAGAGCACTGGGAGAGGAAGTAAAGACATACACCAGCCATTGTGAGAGATTGGGGTGTTTGCACACGACCTGAATTAAAGGATTCGACAGGAGGATGGGGCAACGAGAGTTGAAGTTGTGAGGGTGAAGTTGCGAAGGCTGAATCTGCGGGAATTGCCGGTCCGCTGATTGGCCGAGCCTCCGGCCTTCCGCACTCAACTTTCAATGTTCGCGTTGTTTTTCTCTCTCGATCTTTAGAGATATTGATATTTGCCTTGGAGCTTGGCTCTGTCAAGTTGCTATCAGATATTTCTTATTCTGCCAGTCCATTTCACAACCTCGACCCTACACACCACACCATGGCCTCCAACGTCGCCAGGTCCGGCATCACCACTGATGCCCAAACCGGCGAACGATACATTCCCTCCTCAGTCCGTGCTGACGGTTCTAAGCGCAAAGAGATTCGCGTGCGCCCTGGCTACAAGCCCCCCGAGGATGTCGAACTATACAAGAACCGGGCAGCGGCAGCATGGAAAACCCGCGGAAAAGGCGGGGTGCCGGGTGCGGAAGCATTGAGCAGCGAAGACGACAAGACCAAGACCGCAGCGAAACCCACAACTACCGCCGCCACTGCCGCCAGCAACAAGAACGCTAAGCGCCGCGAAGCCAAGCGGAATGCGAAGGAATCCGACGAAGCCGGTCCAACCACTGAGGGCAAGGGCGCAGAGTCAAACAACTGGCGCGTCCCCGCACCCGCACCTACGAAAGAAGAAAAGCCTGCTGAAGAGCCGATCGATATCGAAGCCGAGAAGGAGAAGAAGGCCCGCAGTCTGAAGAAGAAACTCCGCCAGGCGCGGGATCTTCGCGATAAGAAGCAGCAGGGTGAGGCGCTGCTGCCCGAGCAGTTGGAGAAAGTTATCAAAATTCAGGAACTTGTCCGACAGCTGGATGTGTTGGGGTTCGATTCCAATGGTGATAAAAAGAATGGTGAAAGCAATGAGAATCCTTGAATACCTTTTTGAACTTTCAGACGCGGGGTAAGACCAAATTCAATAACCCATATCCATGTGTCGAGTATATGCCAATATGCATATCAGTTTCGTCAGGGCCTCCTGCAAGCACCCTGGGACACCTGTTGGGAGCCACCAGACTATCCTACATTATTGTGGCAAGTGATTGGAATTGGGGTGCGAGAAATATTACCTATACGGCGCAACCACCAGCCTTCCCAATCACCCACCGCTTCGCCTGTGAGGGAATCCGGATGCTGTCACATGTATCTGCTATTCCGTTAGTCGGAGGTCTAGGTGCTCTCGCCCTTGACCCTAAATTGGGATCAGAACTGAGGAGGGTAACAGATTTTGCAAATGGGTCAAATTCAACCTTTTGTTGACCGACCATGGGCTGGCAGTGATTTAGATATTAGAAACTGCACATTTGATATCCGGCCAATGCCGTCGATTTCCGACTTTCAACAACCTTGGAAGAAAAATATATTATTACAAAGATACATTTACTATACATGGCTTTGACTTTCTCTTGTGTACATTCCCAAGTACAAGTAGCAAAACCGCAGGGACCAGTCACATAGCATCAGATTTTGGAGTCAACAAGACGAACAGGAGATGTCACAATGCCACCCTCGAGTCTCCAGCGTTTATAATCAAAGGAAGTCCACGGACGCCACGGACTGGGCTCACCACTGAGCCGGTTTCTTCCGATGCCATAGGTGGCAGATAGGATACCCTGTTTGACACAGTCGCCCACACTTACACCATTATACCAGTTTCCTGCGAGAATAAGCCGGTTGTTGTACTCCTCGCGAACTGTGTTCGAGAGCTTATACATGCGGTCCAGATGGCCGACTGTGTACTGAGGAATGGCATCCTTCTTGAGACGACTCCGTGCGACAGCTGGGGTATCAGTGATATTCATGTGTCTCTTGAGCATGTCGCGGGCCATTTTCACTGCGGTGTCGTGGTCTGGATACTCTTCGAAGCCATCCCAGTAATGTCCACCTAGCATGACGGTGAGTTTCGTTCCAGGTGCAGAATCTTGGTTGACTTCAGATGACGAAGAATCCGTTCCGTTCCCTACACTAGAGGACGAGGCGAAGATGACGCCAAGTCCACATTCTGGGTTCTGTTCGTAGGGTATCGAACGCGGTATGAGGTATCCAAAGCCATCCTCCACGGGTAGAAGGTTGGGATTTGGGTAATAGAGATTAACTACCATTGCCGTCACGGCGTAGTCCTGTTTGCGTAGTAGAGATGGACTCAAGCCGACAGGGTTCAGCTTGGCCTTTGACTGCTCGGTTTTGCGCATGAGCTTCGCAAGTGCAACTGGAGGAATAGTGGAGATGACATATCCATAATCAAACGTCTTGATTTGACCGTGAATGTCTGAGTAGTATTCCATCTGTTGACAATCAGCATCAATCCCGGGGCCCAGGGAGCTCAGGGATAGAGCATGGCAATGCAGAATAATTCACATACCGCAATCACAGGATGGCCTGCCCAGGCACTCAAACCTTTAATCTCCGTGTTCATTCGGAAGACGACTTTACCGGATGCTTTCAACGAAGCGATCAGTGCTTCAATAAGCTGGCCAACTCCCCTCGGAAAGGTAAAAGTAGTAGCTCCAGCCGCGAGGACTTCTAAATCATGCTGACGGCGCACTAATTCAGGGCCTGCAGGCATGGCATCTATAGCCATAAAATCATCCATATTCCGGGTCTTTGTTTTGGAGATCGACCTGGAGATAAGAGACGCCGTAACTCCACCAGAAACCAACCCGCCAATGCCCCCAATGCCTCCCTCAAGGTTGCGAATGCTACCCAACAGTGTTTGGGCACTCAATCGATCGATATCACCAGCATAAATTCCATGGTACACAGCGGAGACGATATTATCTGCAACATTGGGGCCAAAACGACGTCCGATGAAGTCCGCAACAGACTCATCCTCCGCCCATTCAGTTGGGTGCCGGGGCGGAGTGAAGACATCCTTCACTATCCCTGAAATAAATTTGTTAAATAACGGCTCCTTCATAGTATTTACGAAACTATCGAAGTTTTCCCCGAAAGAAAGTTCAGGCTTCGGCGCCGGCATGCGAACGAGACGGTCCGGGTAGTAGATGTAGCGATTCTGGGCCGCGGGGCTCGTGCTCGGGGTAACAATGAGGTCTTTGTACAAGCCTAGATTTGTAGCCTTTCGGAAGGGTCAGCATATCAAGGGATTTAAATTCTGAGTATGCACACGCGAGTAATACTCACCAGGTAAAGCAGAGGGAGTGACCCTGGCAGCGCGCTCCTTAACGTCCGCGGCCCATATTCGAACACGACATTGCCACCATCGACAGGAACTGTTTCGGAATCGATCCATCCACCGAGCCGGTCCGTTTTCTCGAACAAATTGATCACTTTGCATGTGGGGTCTTGCGCGAGTTGCCAGGCGGCTGTGAGTCCTGTGATGCCACCGCCGAGCACGGCGGCACTGTATGCACGTTCTTGGCCATTGAGAATATGAGTCAATTGCCTTCGTCTCGGTCTTAGTGTTCTAGAGACACATGGTAGCCGCATCTCTGCTGATCAGAGCAAGGTTTGGTTCGCAGTTGGTTGGAGAATTGAAGCTAAACCCGAAGGTCCTCGGAACCTTCCGTTCTTACTTAAGCTACGCGGGGAGCCCTCCAGGACGGGAGCACGGGAGCTCACCCAGTTTCCTCGTCCCACTACAACAACCCTACAAGCTTGCACAATGCTTCATGAGACATTCGCGAATTTGTCTTCGCTTCGGTATTATTCTTTTGAAGATCAACGGGGGAATCTATGAACAGGACAGATAATAGTATCTGAAACAAAAGCAAATGCATAAAGAGTATCAACGCCATTCCCTCCAGCCATTCCTCGTTCACTGATCAAGATCGGATTGTACATGGTATTCTTCGCTTCGGAAACAGACTGTTGTGGGATGTGTTTTTTTTTTCTGGGTTTTCGGTTTTTGAACAGTGATTTTCTTCATTGAGTGTCATGTCAGGCGGAGTCACGCGGTCAGCTCCTGGCTCTGGGTGTTCTCCTCGGTGTCCGGCTTGATCAACTCTTGCGGTCCATCCACATCCGTAACAAACTTGCGCTCGCTGACATGCTCTCCAGAGTGCGGAGTCCACACCTTGTCGGTGTAAGCACCGCGCTGACCCTCGGCGTGCTTGTAGGTGCACTTGGGGTTTAGGCAGGGATTAAACTTGCAGGCAGTCTCGACATGTGTAAACTTGCATCCTTCGGTCTTACAGTCGGCTCCATTGCGGCAGACTGGCATACTCGGGTGCTTGAAGTGACAGGTGGGGTTGGTGCAGTGAGGAAAGAACCGACACATGGCCTCTGCCTGGTGGGCGGATCGCACTGCTGGTGAAGGGTGGCGTCCGGTGCATTTCTTGTTCTTGCAAGCTGCACCGAATGAACAAGTATCAGAAGGATCGATTGAAGTGCCTTCGGGGGCGGCAGGTGATTGATGGGCGAACGGGCAGTCCTGGCGCGAGCATCGTTGGTTAAAGCGACACACACTGTCGGGGTTGCTTTCATCTTGTTCGCCACCCGCTGTGCTGTCCATATCCACATCTGCTCCTTCTGCCGCTCTCGGCTTGTTGTAGGCGCGCTTTCCTCCACGCTGGCCACCTCGCTCCACCCGGTTGAAGAGCGAACGACCTTGAGAGCCATTCTGGGAACCGGCTTGGAAAGCAGGGTTAACAGCGGGCGGCATGAAGCCAGGCATGAATTGCGACATCATCCGGGCTTGTTCTTCCAACATCGACATAAGCTGCATCTGGTTTTCGGGGGTCATCTGCATCATGGGGTTGCCTGGCATTCCCATGGCACGGCCACCGCGACCATTTTGCTGTCCGGCACCTCTCATTTGACCCCGGCCATTGTGACCAATGCGCCCGTTTCCTTGTCCGCGCACACGATGTAGAGCTGCATCCGAGCCACGATCCAGGTTTCGATTGATTTGGTTCAACATTCTTCCCTTGCCGCCTCTGCCGTTACGCATCGCTTTCGGTCCTGTGGGGCTATTGAGAAACACTGTCAGCATATTATAGACATTAGCAGAAAGACATGATAAAAACCTACATCTCGGTTCCGGCCTCGCCCATCTCGGCATCCTGGCCGTTGGTCTCTCCAAACGGATTGGGCATCGTTTGAGCTGAGTTGTCGAATTCCATCGCCGAAGGGTTCAACTGTCCCATGGTAGCATCGGTCGGGGCTGGAGCAACCCCGTTGATTTGTTGGTTGAGCATCTCGACTTGAGTGAAAAGCCATTGTGAAAACTCGAGGGCTGCAGTGTCACCTTCCTGGAGGCCAAGGAAATCGTTTGAAAGTTCGGTGGCGATTTGCTCTTCGGTCTTGCCGTTGACCAGCATGAGAACGATGTATTCGATCAGTGGTGACTCTTGGCCATCACTCCAACCCATCTCCACCAATTTGGGCTGGATGACATTTGCGACTGCTTGCGCAAGGGGTGTCTCTAAAGTGATTTGAGGCAACATGGCGAAGGTGATTGTGAAGTCAGGGAAAAGTGACAGGTTGGTGAGAAATTCACAAAGAGAGAGCAGTGCTGATAAAAGAACTTGCGCCACCCGATAAAGGCGTTTCGGATCTTATCGGCGCGACTAACGATGAAGATGCGATGAAAATGGTATGTAGTAGCGGTTGGGGTTAGGAGTGAGGTAGATAGACCAGTAACAGGTTCTGGTAGAGAAAGCAAGACTTTAGCAAGCAGATTGATGTGAAGCTAAAGATCCGACGACCAAAACGGATGTTTGATCACGTGGATGTGGCTGGCCGGCGGTGAGGTGGGGCAATACATACAATGCAAACAACCACCACATGTGCTGACGAGGTCGATTTTGGTGTCAATCAAAAAGAGCTCTTGGTTCTATTGAATCTGATCTTAATGGCTCGATGAAAGAGATAAGAAAGTTGAGCTGTTGAAAGGCATAAGAAGGAGTGGAATTTGCGACTACTAAAGGCCGGGTTTATATATTCACAATGCCTATTGTTCCACTACCAAGGTACTGAGTTGGTTGTTGCGAATGGGGTTAAATGGTTTCTGTATACAAAGAGAAGTATTCAGACAAAGAACTCACCGATCAAGTGATGCCCGAGAAGGGAATAATAGCAATTGTCTCAAGGCTTCCTGGGCTGGTTGCCTAAGGCATGAGTAATTTGGCCTGGAATATCAGGCCTGAAATACAGCCTCGGGCCTCCTTCATGAAGAACATGTGGACTGCATGTAACTAGTTAACTAGTTATGCAGTGCAGGAACGTTTATGTGGCCTGCAGGGCCACCTATCCACAACTGTCGATCTCCCCGCTCTGAATCATATGCCATCAACCCCTGTCTGCCGAGGTGTCATGTCTTCGCCATGCATCTTCCCCAGATCGTCAGTGTCCCCACAACAATTATACAGTGTGAAACCGAGATCAGTGGGGATCTGTGCCTAGCCTAGCGCCGTATTGGAATCTCAAAGCAATAAGATGGATCAATGAACGAAGCATGAAGTCACATAATGCGGGGTTCGCAAGCATGGCTCCTTTAGGCCATCCTCCTACACCTCTTTGGGATATGGGAAAAACACATCATTGGACACTACAAGTTCATTGGAATTCTCCGGAAACCTGGGGTGGTTGTGTCCCCAGATTGATAAACGCTGCAACCCGTATGGTCCACACTGTTTGACAAGTTCGTCTTCATAAACTAGCCTTCCCTGCCATATGTTATGCAGCATATCAGTTCTTTTTATATTACTCTGAGTGTGTCCCCTCGAAGCCAGAAACCAAACCAAACCCAATTTGGCCCAGTATAACGGCATCATGATCGAAGACCTCCTCGCGGGGATAACACCCAGTCGGGCGTCACTATGGCTTCTAGGACTATTTGTTGCATTCTGTGTGTTCCGCAAGTTTCAAGCTTCAATACAAATCGCCCGTCTCGGTGTCAGAGCTCCCAAAATTGAGTTTCATCTCCCATACGCTCTCGACTTCATCTTCCAAGGCTACCAAGCCAATAAAGTGAACCGCGACATAGAATTCTGGGATGCAAAAGTCGGGCAAGCAGGCGGCCTAACAAATGTGAAGACAGCCGAGCTCGATGCTGGGATTTCCACCCGTATGGTCATCACTAAGGACCCAGAAAACATCAAGGCACTCCTCACCGGCCAGTTCGCCGACTACGGTAAGGGTGAGTCCTTCCACCAGGAGTGGAAGGAGTTCCTAGGCGACAGCATTTTTACCACAGACGGGGAACTATGGTCTCGCTCCCGCCAGCTCATCCGTCCGATGTTCGTGCGTGACCGCATCGTCGACACAGAAATCTTCGAGAAGCATGTTCAGAAACTCATCCCGCTTCTTGGCGGCAGCGACTCCCCCAGCAGCAGCAAGGTAGTGGACGTCGGCTCACTCTTCTTCCGGTATACCCTCGATGCAGCAACAGACTACCTGCTTGGCAAGGGCACAGACAGTCTAGATAACCCGGCAACACGGTTCGCCGAAGCGTTTAGATATGTGCAACAGCGTCAAGCGGAGTACTTCCGTTTCGGGTGAGTGATACTCGATCCTGGGCGACACAAGCACATCCTGTCATTGGAGCCTCGCAGAACCTAATCTAACATTCAACCCTAAAACAGAGTCTTTAGTCATGCCATGTCACGCACCGAATTCCGCAAGAACCTCAAGATAATGGACGAGTTTCTCCAGCCATATATCCAAACCGTTCTCGCCCACTCAACTGACGAACTCAATGAGAAGCTTTCGAAGCACGAGACCTTCCTCGACGCCCTAGCCAGCTTCACCCGCGACCCCCGCGTTCTCCGTGACCAACTAGTCGCCGTCCTCCTTGCAGGCCGCGACACAACAGCCGCCACACTATCCTTCTGCCTCTTCGAACTATCGCGCAACCCAGAAGTCGTCGCCAAGCTGCGCGACGAGGTCCGCGACAGACTCGGCGTCGGTGCCAACGCCCATAAACCCAGCTATACCGATCTCAAGGAAATGAAGTACCTCAACGCAGTGCTGCATGAGACGATGCGTTTATACCCAGTCGTGCCATTCAACGTGCGCTACTCGCTGCACGATACAACGCTTCCACGCGGCGGTGGGCCGGACGGGCTGGCGCCTGTGGGAGTGCGCGCAAACTCGCGGGTTGTTTACTCGACAATGTTGATGCAGCGGGATCCTGATCTGTATGACAGCCCAGGATCGGAGAACTACTTCGATCCTGGAAAGTGGATTCCTGAGCGGTGGGTTTCCGGCTGGCAGCCCAGGCCGTGGCATTTCATTCCGTTCAATGGTGGACCGCGAATTTGTATTGGGCAGCAATTTGCTATTATTGAGATGGGGTACACTGTTATTCGGATTTTGCAGGCTTATCAGCGCATTATTGCGCTGCCGGTTGGTGGGAAGGATAAGGTTGAAGACCCGGTGCTTCGGTTTGAAGTTACCCTCAGTCCTGGCTCCGAGTTAAATTGCGTTTTCCTCAAAGAGGGTGAAGAGGCTGTGCATAATGCCGCTAAGGTGAATGTTGCTTGAGCTATGGTTGATTGTTCGAACTATAGTATGATATATTTTCTTTAAGATATGAATTTATGCCCTGCTTTTAGCTTTTGGAACAAGATGGAATTTATATTGTTGCATTCTTAGTAGTCGATAGGAAGATCTAAGCGGAAAGGTATCCTCCGTAAATAATCCCTATAAGCTCTATATAAGGATCTAATTCCAAGGTTCAGAATTTTAACCCCTGACATAACTACATGTATTCAGAGGAAGAGTGCCTTCAATAGCGAGTCGTTATCAACCTAGCTACCTATTCCTAATACCCGCAATAGCGACACCATTCTGTTCTTTTTCCAACCCCCTTCAAATACCTAAACGAAGATATAATCGTGGCAAGCCCAAACCAACACCTACCGGTGTTGGTGGGCCCCAGCGGATAACAAATTCTCACTGTATCACAAATTGTAAAATTAAGTATCTTTTATATGGTACCTCCATACAAAAGATACTTCTATGCAATATAATCGTAACCTCAATTTTTCTCAACTCTCAGACTAGCTTGAGTAAAAATAAAAAAAATAAAGATCTAATATAGGTCAGATTTCATCGATCAACTACTAAGGCTGGTTCTAAAAATATTATATAGTGGTGTAAAGAGCGCCTTAAAACAGCACCATATATTAAATATTGTATGTAAAAGTTTAACCATTCTCCTACTTTAAGCACACTTGATAATTCTTACTAAGATTGATACTAAGTGATTGAGACTTCATTCACAATCTATATACTTTCTCATATTCTCCCTCTCTAGTCTAAGGGTAGAGAAAATTGAATTTACGATTATATTGCTTGGAAGCATCTTTTGTATGGAGTTTCTATATAAAAGATACTTAATTTTGCAATTTGTGATCCAGTGAGAATTTGTTATCCGCTGGGGCCCACCAATACCGGTAGGTGTTGGTGGGCTTGGCACGATTAATGGTCTAGGAGAAGAAGATGTATGTACCAGTGCATTCTTATATATGTAATTTTTTATTTTTTTTAAATATTCGCAAATTGTTCTTAGATTCCCTTCCTTTATTATGCATATTTTGGCCCATTTAGTCATCAAAGGCGGTTTGGCCGAGTGGTCTAAGGCGATTGACTAGAAATCAATTCCGTTCGCGGGCGCATGTTCGAATCATGCAGCCGTCGTTTTTTTTCTTTGTCTTACAAAAAGACCCTTCTAAGGTAAGTCCTTAATGGCTGGGCCTACTTCCATGCGTGACTACTTCCTTGGTGACTTGGCTATAAAACCTACATTACTTCTTGAGATTGCCTAAAGCTCTTGATACGTTATTATAAGAATCAAGATTATTCAACACTATCCTAGCCAACTGGACGACCTGCTTCAAGTCAATTTGAATTACTGTTTAAAGGAGTAAGAAAGCGAGAAGGCCACGTGGTGCGCAGCCAGAAAACATTGTAATAGAACATTTGCAAAGCGAAAGAATCATAGGCCCCATTTCTGGCATCTTAGTTTGGTGTTGAAGCTAAATAACTCGAGTCAGAGGTAGCATAGGAGCGGAAACGGGGGTCTTGCCTCGGATGTGATCTGAGTGGAGTGTGGTGAGTCTTGCATTGATGGCAAGGTATTTTGGGGTTCGTTTGAGAGTATTGTGTTCTTCTGCGGGCAGTCACTCTTCGGTGACCTAGCTGGCCACAGTTGAAGCAGGTTGGCTCATCCTGCTGGTAATCATGCTTCAGGTGACCCTTCTTGCCACATCGAAAGCAAGTTTGCAAGCTCACAGATCTCGACCTGGGAGTACCCTCGTTTTTCCGCTTTTTCGATAGGCACTTATCTTTAAGGTGGTCCTTCTCTCCACACTTGAAGCAGGTTGGCTCATCCTGCTGGCAATCATGCTTCAGGTGACCCTTCTTGCCACATCGAAAGCAAGTTTGCAAGCTCAAGCTCACAGATCTCGACCTGGGAGTACCCTCGTGTTTCCGCTTTTTCGATAGGCACTTATCTTTAAGGTGGCTCTTCTCTCCACACTTGAAGCAGGCTGGTGCATGTTTACAGATGATAAAATGGTTAGGCTTTATAAACTTATAGCACTAACTATAGTGATATTAGTAGTCTTTAGCGAAGTGGCCACTAAAACCGTATCTTCTATATAAAATATATAATCACTTAGAAGAAAGGACGTTATACTAAGAAGAAGAGTAAGCGCTTCGTAGGGTACGAAAGAGGAATAGATAATACCGAATCAAAAGGTATCAAGACGAGAAAAATTTAAACGTAGGAAGAAGCTAGGAAGAAGCTAGGAAGGAGGAAGGAGGGAGAGTGGGGGTAGAGAGGGAGAGGGGGAGATAAGCAAGCTACATCTAACGGATGACTTAAGGCCCCCGACCAGCAACACGAGGGCTTAGCGATTCAACAGAGCAAGTCTTTACCATAAATAGTCCTACCTCTTCTAGCCAGATCTTCTTCCTCCATAGCAACCAATACAAACCGCCTCATCATGCACTTCATGGTTCCTGAGTAGCTCCCAGAGATATTATGAGCCCGGATCGCGCATTTCCTCTACTTCTTAACCGTAGCACGCATCTCTCTTCTGTGCATTACACCTCACTGTCGCCCCGCGGTTCTAACCGTACGCGATATCTCAGTTCACTCTACATCAAGGGCCTGCGTCCAACTTCGGCCAGGCCATTTCTCGACGTTCCCGCATCCTCAGCGCCATCGCGCACCTCAATACTCCCGCACACTTCCAAAAGCCAGCGTTCTCAAGCACCTCTCGACCCTGCATCATAGGTTCATTGACCTTCCTTCGCCAACTTTCCGGTTTCTTAGCCTTATCATTCATCAAAGTTTCATCAAACCTCCGGTTTTCCAGCCCTTCTTCTTTCTTTTTCATCAAGCTTTTCGTCAAAACTTCCTCCAGTTTCAAAGCGCCGTCTCTCTCGGAGCTCGTGCCTACTCTCACCGGTGCCGACGATTTCAATCGGTGGTCAACAAGCCTTCGGTGGGCTCTTGACACATGCGACACTTAACTTCACGATCTACTTTCCGGCGTATACACGAAGCCAACCGCAAATAACCAAACATTACTACCGCTGAGTACCTCACCGCTTCCAATGAGTGGACTTAGAAGTCAAACCTTGTCCTTTCACGGCTCGTCGCCACAATTTACGATTCGCTCAAGTCGTACATCAACAACGGTTCGAACACACGAATCGCCTTTTACAACCTTCACCAATCCTTCGCGCTCCACGCTTACAATACCGTATTCAACAAATTCAGCGAGTGGGTCTCCCTTAGGTACGACAACTTAGTCTCTCCGCAAGGTTTCGTATACAAGTGGCGCCTTGTACAATCGAGATTCGTCACCACCACCCACCCTTCCAACAACGCTTGGTACTTCCTCTTCTAGAGGGCAGTTGGCGCTAACCCCGCTATCCACACGTGGCTCGATAGCCTCCGTCTACCCCCCTTCTTCCTCTTAGCAATCAGTATAAACTGCATCATCATCATGTATTTAATGATTCCTAGGTAGCTCCGAAAGAGCAAGTAGATAGGATAATTACAGGCAGTTTAGCCTGCATAGAAGCCAAAAATTGGAACAGCAGGTTGATGGCTGTAGGCAGATGGTGACAGTGCAAAGGTATTGTTATGCCAAAAGCTCCAAAATATATGTAGCTTCGCCTAGACAACCACATAAAAACAGCTTAGGAAGAACGCCATGGCTTCAAACATGCGTATGTATCAAAGCATTAAACGAGACTAAAACTATAAAAATGGAGTGATATCGATATATGGTGGCCCACGGTCTAACGCTAATATAGACCTAGACAGCCAAACGCTAAGCAAGGCCTCTCGCATGCCGCAAAAGGCAGCGTGGCAATATAACACTGCACCTCTCTCAGTAGCATGAACAAACGTACCAAATAGAGAGACAAAGATTCTCTAACGTTAATAAATCAAAGTATCAAATGTGAATGTAGAGGCTGTCTTCAGGGGTACTGTCCAACGTTCAAATCGGGCTGGGATTTGATAGCGGCCGGCCTCCTTTCGATATAAGCTGTCGTTCGAAAAAAAGAAAGAAAAAAAATACAAGGTACGGCAGTCTCGTAGAAGTAAAAGCGTGCTAGATCCTAAAGGTAGATAGCTAAAGTAGGGCTCTTAGTATAGGAAGCTTCTTAATTAATTACTAAGCTAGTAGTAGTAGTAGTTAGTAGTAGTAGTAGTTAAAGCCTTCTCCACTCCTGGCGAAGAAGGCCTTCACCACCTTATAACCACGAACGAGAGTACCACTAACGTGCGGGCTATATAAAAACCAGGGTCATAGAAGAGATGCATATCTAGATAGATGATGATTTTAGTGTAATTAATTTAATGGAGTTTTGGTTGAGATATATATATTTAAATTTAATGGGTTGGTTTTGGTGCGCCACACGTTTGGGTGCGCCGCTCGCTTGTGAAGTATGTATTTTCGCGTGGACCACTCGCATGTTAACATCATACCAGCCAAATTTAAGCAAAAAAGGTAACGACGGCTGCATGATTCGAACATGCGCCCGCGAACGGAATTGATTTCTAGTCAATCGCCTTAGACCACTCGGCCAAACCGCCTTTGATGACTTTTTGTGCTAGAATGTGCATTACAAGGGTAATTCCTGAGAATAATATTTCTTTTGGTACATGGATGATCTCCTAGACCAATTATATCTTCTTCCTATCTTTATAATTCCCTCCCGTGGTCAACCAGGGCCGACCTTTACTTAGGTAATATCTATATATATTAAAAAAGCCCCCGGTCCTGCGAATTTCTAAAGCCATGGTTGATCATTTAAATACTGGTTTCTGGTTGGTTAGAACTAAAGATTATATACGAGGGCAGTATCGTATCGATCCAACTCGCTCTACTACTCGTTTGGCAAAAGGAAGCCCAATCACCACCAGGGCGTTTGACTTGTCAATAGTTTACCGCGCCGGAAGGCTCACATAGGTCGCATAAACAGCCCATGCATCAAATAACATCAGATTGATGTGAGGGCTGCGTTGCATAATATCCATGGATGAAATGACCTTTTTTTCTGATAGTTTTATTTGAATGATACTGCTCGGTCATGTATTTCGTCATCGGCGGATATGATTCAAAAAGAGTGCAACCGGATGCAACACTTAGGGGAGTCCAAATTAACAGTTAGGGAATGGCTATAGATTCATACAATTCCTTATTCAACTAAGAAATAGGGGCGAGTAGTAATCTTTTGCCGACAAAAATGACATGTAGGACCAAAGCCCACGAGGGCATACTTTGTCGCCTGTCTTCTCGCCTATCCTGATACCAGACTAGGTATCGAATGCGGAGATGGTAAAGAAACAAAACGATGTCCGTACAACTCGACGCGGTCTGGCGGTAAAAAAACGGCAATCCTCTACATCACAATATCGACGACAGACAAGGTATTCAAATAGAAACGGACCTAACGACAGATCATGAACCTAGGCAGCACAAAATCAGTGGTCCGTAATGCAAAGTTAAGAGTTATATAGGGCTCGCACATGATATTATACTTCTGATTAAAGAACCCAATCCTTTTCAAAAAGTGCTCCCAGCCATAGATCTTAATGAGGGTGAGAGCCATCCTTCGCCTATGTTTGTTGATCCGATACTATAGAGTGACTGGGGTATTTTTCCAAGTCCAATGTGAACCCCGAAAGGCTCTGTAGACTGGGCAAGGCTTAGGGCAGATGTTGCTAGAATCGAGGGTAGATGTGTTGGAAAAAATACCGGAGCCTAGGGTTACCCTTACACCAATCTCCAAGGTTTCCCAGGAAGGTATCTCCAATTTTTGGTTCTTATTGGACATATAGACTAGACTCTATAGTTTCCAACCCTTTCATAATGAAATAGATTTTGTTTTTACTCTTACAGTGACCACTTCGTGTCCGTTAGGTATAGTTATAGTTGATTGCGATACCAAAATAGTCATTTTTTCAAGTCCAACTTACTTTCTTTCAAAATAGTTCTTTGAAGCTCAATATGACCACAGCAAACATCACCACGTCATGTGCCAGTTGAAAAGCAAGGCAGCTTCAAATGCTGTGCTCTCTTCTGGAATTATGCAGCCCAGATAGAGAGGCGTGATACCATGCATTAGATGTGTTTCTTTTGAGTAAAGAAATAAACACAATACAGTAGTTGTGCCTATAACCGAATGTTTAGCTCTCAGGTATACCCTAGACCCCATGAATATCTGCACAACCGATACTGACTCGATCATGACCAAAACATATGGCTTAAATACGGAAGATAACGTCAAAGGTCATGAACCATGTTGAAAACTTGAAAGTAGATTTCATGATTTTCAAAGAATGCAGCAGAAACTGGCTAAATGGTGCAAAATATAAATCATAACAACGTAGCTGAGTTCCACCCCTTTTTACACATGAGATCGTCATAAACAGATTATGAATAAGATAAAATAAAACAAGTTCAGTGCAGTGCTCACCACTCCACACCTACATTTGGGATGCCATGCGTAAGGATAGGATTGTCAGACTGGACTCTGTAGTGCGACTCGCCTTTGATTAAAGGGTCCAAACAGCCTCTTGATTCCCATCCAGGTTGTGTTGATCGGACTATCCATCCCAGTATACAGGAATAGATCATAGATCCATCCCCCGAAGGTGCAACCTAATATTGGGGAAACCATAGGAACCTAAGAGAAAAGAAAATTGTAAGCCGAGAACATTTACAAGGCTTGATCCATGCAATGTCAGATATAACATACCCAGAAGTAATAGTCCCCCGCAGCCCATACTTCATGCCCATATCCAATCATGTAGGATGTCAGCCGAGGCCCAAAGTCCCGTGCCAGATTAATAGCATATCCAGTCTCCCATCCAAAGCACGCGCCAATGCCAAAGATAACGAAGAATAGAGCCAGAGGCATCAGCGGCCCGGCACCTAGATTGCCGTCGTCTTTCAGAGCGAATATCATAAACATCAAGACCGCACTAGCAAGGAACTCAGAGAAGAATTGCCCCGTCTTTGTCATGAATTCTGCTGGGTAAGTGCAGAAGATGCCACCTGTTGCTGTCGTTGAGTAGCCGGGGACTGTGCGGATATTTGGTCCACCCTCGTAGACATTGATGGCTGACTTATAGTTGCCGTACACGATGGCAGAACCGCACATTGCGCCGAGGATCTGGGCTAGTGCGTACACGGGGAATTTGTGCCAGGGGAACCCGCGGAGGACGCAGTTTGCAAATGTCACGGCGGGATTGATGTGGCTTCCTGATGCCCCGCTGGCGTATGCACCGAGCATGACGCCGAGTCTGTTGAACGGGATTGGTTAGAAGAGAGTAGTAAGCGATGATAGGAAAAGAAGAAGAGCCTTACCCCCATCCCCAAGAGATAGATTGGTAGTCACCCTTCTGGCCATGACTGAGTAGCACCTGAGCAACGACCCCGTCCCCAAATAAAATCAAGATCATCGTTCCAAAGAACTCCGAGAACGCATCACGGCAGTACTCCCTCACTTTGAACCAGAGCAGGGGGCGAGTATAAGGGCTTTCGACTTCCGGGTTGATATGATGGATAGCCGTTTCGTTCTTATCAGTCAGACACAGCGAGCCACAGCCACCGTCATGACTAGCAGAGGAGAGAGTTTCACGGTGGACTTTTGACATTGGGTCAAGCTCAAGCTCTTTCCAGGTAGCCATCGAAAGGAGAGCCCAAGCTCTGGAAGCCAGAGTTGGGGCTTCGAGTTGATATAGTACGACCAGCCGTGGGGAAACTCGCCAATCACGCAGAAATGATATGGTAGTCCCTCCGGTATATCAACGGCGCAGAACTAGGACGACTGTGTAACCAACCCTTTGCGTTCAGTCTGTGCTGTCCTTCGTACAATATGGTGGCTCGATTGGCTGATGCAGGGTCTTGTCCTGGAAGAGAGTGTGTCTGTGTGTCTTGTCCTCCTGGTTCCAAACTCCAGAGGGCGTGCAATATTGCAGGGAGGATATCAGCTGAAGTCAAATGCCAAACCGGATAGACTCGGAATCATCAAGTGCACATGTCCTTTTTATTGAACTGGCTGGGCTGGCCATTGTCCTTTTTGTTATGGTGTCCTTTTAAACAGAGCGGAATTTTCTGACAACGCACATCTCTGCTCATAGTTTATTTCAGGGGTCGTTTGTAGGAAGTGCCGTTTGGCCTGGGCAGCCGGAAGTCACTGTCCGATCCCGGTTGGGTTCTTTCCTCTCCTTTGGGTAATTATTGGACACCACAATGTTGTGTATAGTTCACTTACCGGTATTTGCCACTGTCATGACTGTATGAAGAAGCTCCTCTGTCTTCTGTTACTCATCGTCAACTCGTCGGGAGCCAAACCTTACGCAGGCCCAATTGTAATTTTCTAGAAAGTCCATACTGTGTCACGTTGAGGTGGCAGGCTTCTCCAAAGGGAGAAGAGAGTAGCGGGAAGAGATTGGTCTTCCCCTATGATGATGCTAAGGAGAGTATTTTGTCGCTCTTCGTTTCTCGTCGGCAGTGACACAATTGACCGCTGACCGTGTGACCATATGCTTGAAGGTAGCATCACCGAGACCGGGGTTGTCCGGACTTGACTCTGCGAGTGTGGTCGAAGTGATATCTTGTCCTCCGGCGATTAGCACCGCAGTATTCACGGAGGGGGAAAAAAAGCTAATGTAGGTTTGCAGATAAAATTGATAAATTGCAATTCCAACCAGTCTAGTAGTTGCAATTTGGGCCATCTATTAGCAAAAGTCTGGTTGTCCTGCTGGTGCTGCTTGGGTATATGACAATGGAATAAGACCGAGTCAATGCGCAATTCCCCACCGATTTGGATCTGACACTTCGTCAAATAAACCGAGTCGTCAATCGTCCGCTGACCTCTCCCCACAATATGCAGGGAGGTCATGCTGACAGGGTTTTGAAGGGGGGGGAAGTCGGGGAGAGAGAGCCGTTTTCCTGAGGATATCTTTTGTCAAATCATTACAAAGTGCACTTACACTTGGCCAATTCAACAACTCAGCCCCAAGACTGACTCCAAGAACGAGTCTACACGAAGAGCCAATACATGTTGTCGCACAGTCCGTTATCACCTCTCATCTCACGTCTGACCAGGGGTAATCCCACCAATCCCTTCTCTCGGTGTCTCCCCCTCATTCTTCAAATCAGCACCCCGCTGTGTGACAGTGAAGCTATTATGCACGAAGACTTTTATTTATGTGTTTGGGATCCCCTGTTCTATCTCGAGTTCTCTCGCGCTCTGCTGTATCCCAAGTTTGACGTCTCGTGTCATGCGCAAACAGACAACTCATTTGTTTTCCTCCCTTATAGATTCCTCCATAACTCTCCAGAACCATGCAGCCCTCACAGACCTTTGTCGGATCAATTGATCAAGGCACAACGAGCACCAGATTTCTGGTCTTCAACCGCGAGGGCGAGCCAGTAGCATCACATCAAGTCGAGTTCAGCCAAATCTACCCGAACCCGGGGTAAGTTCCAGTCCAATCCAATATCCAGACCAAAAGCCCACCTCGGATCCAAAATTAACCACTCCTAGCTGGCACGAACATGACCCCCTCGAGATCGTAACCTCAGCAGAGACCTGCATCGAAGAAGCTGTCCAGAAGTTCGAAGCGCAAGGCCACACCCGGAGCAGCATCCAAAGCATCGGAATAACAAACCAGCGCGAAACAACCGTAGTATGGAACCACGAGACCGGCGAGCCGCTGTACAATGCTATTGTATGGACAGACACACGCTCTCAGGCGATCGTCACGGAATTGAAGCAGAGACCCGGGGCAGCGCAGCTTCAGGCACTCTGCGGTCTGCCGCTGTCAACCTACTCGTCGGCTACAAAGCTGCTCTGGATGTTGGTGCATGTCCCAAGAGTGAAGGATGCATTTGACCGCGGCACACTGGCGTTTGGTACCGTCGACACCTGGCTGGTATACCGTTTGAATGGTGGCGTGGCTGCCAACATCTTTGTCTCGGATTCGACAAACGCTTCGCGGACCATGTTTGTGAACTTAGAGACGTTGCGGTATGATGAGGCCCTTCTGGACTTTTTTTGGGATCAGGGGAAAGGTTCACTTACCTAGGATTGTGCCCTCGTCTGATGCGACGGCGTATGGCCTTGTTGCTTCTGGGGCTTTGGCACAGGTTCCGATCATGGGCTGCCTGGGTGATCAGTCTGCGGCGTTGGTTGGGCAGAAAGGGTTCTCGCCTGGAATGGCCAAGAACACTTATGGCACTGGGTGCTTTCTTTTGTACAATGTCGGCGACAAGCCGGTGTTCTCGACACATGGATTGCTGGCTACGGTGGCTTACCACTTTGGTGGGAAGCCTATCTATGCGCTTGAGGGGAGCATTGCTGTTGCTGGGTCTGGGATCAAATTCTTGCAGAATAACTTGAATTTCTTCCAGGAGTCTGAGGAGGTCAATGATCTTGCCTACTCGGTGAAAGACAATGGCGGGTGTGTGTTTGTCACTGCTTTCAGTGGACTTTTTGCACCTTATTGGATTGATGACGCGAAAGGAACAATCTGTGAGCTTTCCATTACCTGACTATTATATTTTATCTGACGGTGTATACAGTTGGGATCACCCAGTACACCCAAAAGGGCCATATCGCACGCGCAACGCTAGAGGCAACCTGCTTCCAGACTAAAGCCATTCTAGATGCAATGGAGAAAGACAGCGGCCACACACTTTCCGAGCTTGCTGTAGATGGGGGTATGAGTAACTCAGACTTAGCAATGCAGGTAAGAAATTATACCTTCTTATACGTCGATGAATATTTGAACAATAATTAATTTAATCTTGAATATAGACTCAAGCAGATCTGATATCTATCCCTGTCTACCGCCCCAATATGCGAGAGACTACAGCTCTCGGTGCAGCAATTGCTGCAGGTCTTGCTGTTGGATTTTGGCACAACTTTGCCGAGCTACATGATATCAATCGTTCTGGTGGTGCGGTTTTCGAGCCCCAGGTCCCGCGGCAAGACAGCGCTGAAAATTTCAGACAATGGGAAAAGGCTGTGCAAATGAGTAGAGGCTGGGTGGGATCTCAGAGCGCCGAGCACGAAGAAGCTGATGGTCCGAGCAACGAGACATATGCACCGGCGAAGAATCCTGATCTCCCTCCGCGCAAGGGAATACAGCTCTCAGATAATTCCTTGATCTCGGATGTGGTTAAAAGCTCCACATACATCGCCGCTGTCAAAGAGAGGGCTCATGTCTCGGTCAAGGAGATCGAAGTCCCACATCCACTTGTACAGACGGCATTGGGGAGTGTTTTGGGTGACTTGGATGATGCAGATGAAGAGGATTTGTTCTTGGAACTTCGGAAAGTGGAGATTTTGCAAAGACTTAGGAAACTACGGAAGCGACAGTAAAACTCCTACTAATTGTATTCTTAATCCCAATATGGTCACGGATTTATCAGATGTCACCTACAAAGTCATTCGACACTAACACCTTTTTATATATTCTTTAAAAAAAGATGGATCATATTACTTTTAGCGTATATACCTACAAGCTACCGACTTTCCTAGCATAAAGCAGATTATAAATAGATAAAATATATTACCTTTACGATATATCTATAACCATTTCCTATATTCCTATAACTATTCCTATGCTTAACTCTGGAGACTACAGAAAGAAGCAGGAAGCAGAGGAAAACTGTCTGTATTCGATATGCGAGTCTCAAAAGGGACGGAGAGAGGAAGGAGGGGAAAGGGGAGCCGGAAGAGGTCCTGTCACATGGGGTCGTCTAAACCTCCGAAAATTAACTCAATATCTTCTTAGATGACCTTGGCATAATTCAGAGGACCATATCTATTAAAATGTTACTCATTTAGACTATTTTTCCTATTTTTGTATACAAAAATTTGTATTTATCACCATTTCCTTTATGATGCATATTTTCGCCATTCAATTAAATGTCAATAGGCGGTTTGGCCGAGTGGTCTAAGGCGATTGACTAGAAATCAATTCCGTTCGCGGGCGCATGTTCGAATCATGCAGCCGTCGTTGCAATAATAATCTTTTTGCCCGATGCTAAATCGGGCTAGAATAGATGGTAACCGACCCTTACATTTTTTACCAAAATTACAGACCCTCGCAAGCGAGGGTCCGCCAACCATATAGTATTAAAAAGGTGGAATTAAAAAAAGGGGTGCTATTTGGGTGATCCGTACTATATGGTTGGCGGGTAATTTTGGTAAAAAAATGTAAGGGCCGGTTAGTTTCTATTCATAGAAACTCTTCTGGTAGAAAATGTCAATAGGCGGTTTGGCCGAGTGGTCTAAGGCGATTGACTAGAAATCAATTCCGTTCGCGGGCGCATGTTCGAATCATGCAGCCGTCGTTGCAATAGTAATCTTTTTGCCCGATGCTAAATCGGGCTAGAATAGATGGTAGTTTCTATTCGTAGAAACTCTGGTAGAAACTCTGGTGTCGTTTCACTGCCGAGCTGCGCACACAAGCGAGCTGCACAGCTGAAACACCATAATAAATGCGATATTTGCTTTACTCACATCTCAACAACCAACGTCTGTTTATTATTTTTTTTAAAATGCCGATAGCCATTGATAAGTATTTTTAGTAGTATATATCAATTTTGAATATGTCGAAAGCGCGCATTGTTATGGCCAAAAATTACATATTTAAAGCCTCTGGATAGATATATCTCTCAATAATCAGTGAAACTTCCTGAAGTGACCAAAATATTGTATAATAAGCATTAGGCTATAAGGAAAAGCTCATATAGACATGTATTGTTAGGATATCCAGTTGTAATTTATCGCATTTAATATGTGTATCGGACTGCGCAGCTCGCTTGTGTGTACAGCTCGCATGTGAAATACGTTATAATAACCTGCTTGCTGTATAAGTGGTTCTTTTTGGTAGAATGCCTGCCTTGGTATCTTTGTATGTTTTGCAACCATCCAAGGTTATAGTGCTATTTGACTAATATCTAAATAGCTAAATTTTTTAAATGAATATATTTCTATGTTTATTACTATCATTATTAGTGGCTGGCCATGCGCGTATATTTTAGTCCCTTATTCTTTTAGGATTAAAGCAATAGTTATACAAAGGGACCTCCGAAGTATTGGGCGGCATTTTGTACCCTCTTTACCGCCCTATAAATTCTGCCGGCTCTACCGGTTTAAACCTCCCATATATTGAATAGAATATATACACCAATAACTAATATTTCGTGTACTATCCCTTACAACTGGCATTTAGATAGAGACAAATTAACAGAGAATAGAAGAGAAAATGTAGAGAGAATGCGGTATATAGTTAGCGTGAGAGACTAGCAGTATTTTCATAGGTAGGCGGTATATAGGGCGGTATATAGGGGTACAAAATGCCGGATTAATACTTCAGAGATCCCACTGTACGGAAATCTTTAGTTTTCTTCCAAATTTCTGCTTCTTCATAACGCATAATTTGACAACATCAAGGCGGTTTGGCCGAGTGGTCTAAGGCGATTGACTAGAAATCAATTCCGTTCGCGGGCGCATGTTCGAATCATGCAGCCGTCGTTATATTTTTGCTTAATCGTGCTAGAACCGGAACTGGCAATTTCGCAGGATTTGATAGCCCCCCAGAACTAACGAGTCCAAGTCCAGCCCATTATGGATTAAGGCTGTTGATTTTTTTCGCTGCAGGCTATTATCATGGCATATGTATAGCGAGACTTACCTATTGCTCAAACGTTACATATCAACCACGCTCAATTAACCCGTAGCAATAATCCAATCAATAGTGTGAGCAGTAGAAAAACAAGCTAACAGGGTTCAGACAGACAACACCGCATTGGCGTTGATTCATGTCTGGGAATGTGCCAATGACGCCCAAACATAGGACCGACGGGATTCTCGATGGAAGCTGCTCGACGAATTGCATGAGAAAAGCCATGGCAATGCTTAGACTGAGGGTCATATTCCGAGGGTCATATTATCATCAAGAAAGTTGACCCGTTGGGGGATCTTGTCGAAATGGGATATGGCCTCCCTAGGCCCTAAACAGGAATCATGGTTTTTGTTGTGGTCTGGTGGTAAAATAGGCTGTATTATTTCCCACAGATCTTTATGTATTCAAGGGTCTTTTTCACCCAGAATAGACATAATACAATATCGTCAGTTTCCATTCTCAGTATATCATAAGCATAACAGCCCAATCAGCCCCATTTTCCAACAGTAACTGCTGCACAGCAGGTGAAGCATATTTCCAAGCAAAGTAAAGTGGTGTTTGCCTCTTCCTATCCCTAACATTCACATCTGCACCACGTCGGATAAGACACCTCACGATATCTTCTGCAGTGCCGGCATCCTCTCCTCGGCGCCGGCAATACGCTGCGACATGTGGTGGACTAGGTCCCGTTGGACACCGAACAGCCGATAGATCCGGGCCACCGCAGCACATGACTGGTCGGTATGTAGGTGGAGGTATTCCGCAGCAGCGAACAGCGCGGTGCAAAATAGTGCATCCCTTAGAATCTCTTAGATTGAGATCAAGTCCATGGTCAATAAGTAGCTCCAGTATGTCGCAATTCTTAGACTTCACAGCACACATTAGGGATTCGAAATCAACCCGAGCTCCATGATCTAGAAGCAGGCGGACTGACTCGAGTGTGCAATCGTGTATAGCAGAATAGAAGATTCTCTCGTGATAGTTTGCTCCATGTTTTAGAAGCAAATGGAGTGTTTCAAGGGTTCCGTTGTAAATTGCTTCACGAAGCAGTCTTCCTTCGTCATCATCAACCAAGGCAATGTTCGCTCCATTATCGAGAAGGACTTCCACCATGGATGCATAGTTTGGCTTTCGGCGCACTGCCCAAACCAACGGATATGCTCTGTTGATTTTAGCGTTTATATCAACCCCGAATCCGATAAGAAGCTTCAGCATCGGCATTTGACCAGAACCCACTGCACAGTTGATCAACCCTCCGAATAACATGCCGGGACCTTCTGTCTGCGCCCCCTGTTCAAGAAGTAGCCTGAGGGTACTCTCGTGGCCCGTAAGAAGAGCTTTCACCACGGGAGGGCTTGGTTGGGTCCAGGTTTGTTCTTCCTCGCAGCCGTCCAACTGAGCTCCGTGATTCAGGAGCAGCCTCACTATAGCATCATGTCCAGCGCTCGCAGCTATGCTCAGGGGTGTCTGTCCCGCTAACTTAAATATAACACTAAGTGGAGCCCTAGGCGGCATACTAGGTAAACGCATGGGTGGAAAGTGACGATCTGCTCCTTGACTTCGAAATTTGGGCATGACTTTGACATCCACGTAGGCCCCCCAGTAGAGAAAATGCCGTGCGCCTCTTTCATTCCCATTGGCGGCACATTTGAGTAAGCCCTGGCCTTTCGAGAACTTCACATTTCGTTGATAAAGGCGGGGAAGAAAAAGGTCATATAGGCGATGGTTCACCTGTAGTAGGTGTGAGAGATCCCCGTCGGATTTCAATTTCGTACTTATCAGGAGTAACAACTCATTGGGTAATTTGAGTAACGAAACCATAGGACCGAAAAGTAATGTGCGATACGATATAAGGGGGCCTCCTTCACAGTACGAATTAGAAAAGAAATCCACTAGCGCGGGGCTGTCCACTGGTGTACAGGCTAAAACGAGAACTGAAAGACAGCAACAGCGCAGGTGTGTGGTCGATTCGGAGTTGGAGCGGCCCTAAATATTGATACCATTCATGTTGGTTTTACTTCAAATAGTGGAAGACGATGGATCTTAAAAGGTAGCCTCGACTTGTAAAGCCTACAGGAATACCAGCTCCCACGACCGGAACAGTGCTGAACGAGCTTCATAGGCTTGCAGGATCTACGAACATTGCTACACGACAGATAACTCTACGTCCAAAAAACATGCACAATTCAGAAACGATATCAATGCTGCTAGGAGTATGATGCTGATACACAGGCACGGCGAAGACATGCAACGAACATGGGCACGTATCTCACATAAATAGAAACAACAGATCCGAATCAGCTAGCCAGCAAGGCTAGGATAAAAAAAAATACTTCGGACAGAAAATCTCACGCATACCATTAGCGCTTGCCCTTCTTGCGGGGAGCGACAACCTTGAACGCAGAGCTGGCAGCCTCTTCCTCACGCTGAGCAGCAGCCGCAACGGTAGCAGCAGAGCCCTTCTTGGCAACCTCGCTCCAGCCACCGCCGTTCTTCTGCTCGCCGAAAGCACTGGGCGAGACGGGGTCGACAATGCCCTTATCGGCAAGCTTGCGGCGGCGGATGAATTCCTCCGAGAAGCGGCGGCCGTCCAGAGTCTGGGAGTTGGCGTAGACGGAGTCGGAGATGATCTCGGCCTCGGCGGGTAGGAAGAGCAATTGCTGGACGAAATCGTCGACTAGAGATGGGATGTTAGTATGAAGACAGTGTGAATTGAATAAAGAGAACGAAACTCACCATTGATGCTGCTGTTCAACCCCTTGCTCAGAGCCAGCGTAGCCCACTTAGTGAACTCCTCAACGGCCTGGTTGGGGTTGGACTGAGGGGTGCTGCCGCTTGTCACAGCACGGGTAGTGGTCACAGGGCGGGGCTTAGCGATAAGGGGCGAGATTGGGACAGTTCCGCTGGCTGTGCGGGGTCCGAGGGGCGGCGCAGTTGGCACACCCTTGACCTTGCCACTAGCACCGACGGTAGTCCAGGCACTGGAGCCTTGGCCAGCGGGGGCGGCGGGAGCAGGGCCCTTGCTAGCAAGATCTGCATAACGCTTGCCGGCAGAGGAAGGGACGGGAGGGCTTGGGGTCACAACCATGGCGGCAGCGGCAGCAGCAGCCGCGCGGTTCTTGCGGGCCTCCTCCTCCTTCTGGATCTGAGCGAGAGTCTTCTTAGCGGTAGTGGCGGTGGGTGTGGGCTGGGTCTTGGTAGCCCAAGGGGAGCCGGCCGAGGCAGGGGTGGCCGGAGATCCAGCGCTAGCCCAGTTGGCCGACGAGGGAAGGCCAGGAGCTGCCTGTGCCTGCGCTTGGCTGAGACGCTCTTGCTCCGCAAGGAATTGGGCACGGCGTGCCGCAGCGGCGACTTCTTCGCGTTGGGCGGCAGTACGAGCCTCGGCTTCCTGGATCTCCTTGAGAGAGGGACCCTTGGGCAAGTCATTTGCCTCCTTGGCCCATGGTGCGACAGAGGTAGGTGCAGCGTCAACGGGAGTCTGAGTCTGGGAGCGGGACCCAGTGGCCAGAGACTCGGCGACGTTTTGGCGGTTACGCTGGGCGGTAGGCGCAGGGAGAGGCGACGCAGAGGGTGGGGGAGGGAAAGGCTGGGGCATGGCGTGGTCAACCTTGTTTCCCCAGACTGATTCAGGAGGGCCGTGGCTATGTTCATGTTCCTGCTGCTGGCGTTGAGCAGAAGCAGCTTTTTGAACTTGCTGAGAGAGAGTAAGAGGCTCAGCACCGGTAACAGAGTCGGTCAACTGTTGAGCTGCCTCCTCCATCTCGGCCGCAACCTCTGCCTCGAGTTGCTGAGATGCAGCGGCAGGGTGGGTAGGCAGGCCTTCGGCGGTGCGCATGCCCATCTCGCCTTCCTGAGCCCGAAGGGAATGGAACTGGCGAAGACGCTCCTCGCGGGCGTGCTGATCAAATGGATCATCTTCATGGGCCTTGTCAAAGTCTTCCTGCTCTTGCTGAAGCTGAGCACGATCCTGAAGCATTTGAGTAACCTGCTGGGACTGCAAAAAGTTATCGGGCTGGCGGCCAGAGAATGAACCAGCACTGCCAAAGGCAAATGGATCCTGGCGGCTGACGTTCAGGCGATCAAGTAGAGCGGGGAGTTGATCCTGGCTGCCGAAATCCGTTCCCAACATTCCGGGTCCCACATTCAAACCACCCTGTCTGGGTGCAACACCATCGAAGAATCCAGGGACGCCTTGGGATTGCTGCTGCATGGGAGCCTGAATTGGGGATGGCTGGTAGCCAACGGGTGAAGTGATGCTTGAGAAGCTAGGCTGACTTTGAAGGCTGTGTGCGCTAGACTGGTGCTGCAGCGGAGGGTTCATGGACGATGAGGGAGCACCAGGAGGAGCCATCTGCTTCATAATGGCCTGCTGCTGAGCCAAGTGCTCCTTCTGTCGAGCCATCAGGTACTGTTCTTCCTGCTTGCGTCGTTCAAGCGCATTTTGCTGCTCGGCTGTCAACGTAGTGCCGAAGCTCGGGAAACTGCCCGGGAAGGGAGGCTGAGCAGATCCGGCGGTCGTGTTAGTCCACTGGGCAACGGTCGGTTCTGGGCCATGGGGAAGGCCAATCTGGGGCACAAGGAACGGCTCGCGTGAGTTCCCAATGCGTCTCACTAGCTGAGCTAATGGCTCAAATTCGGTGTCCTCAAGCTTCTTGATTTGCAAGTCTGGGCTGAAGAAGCCCGCCTTGAACCAATCATGCATCTCAAGCCCAGTCCACGGGCCCTGGATATTGCCTTGCGGATCCCGGTAGATCCAACGCATCCTATCCGGCATGACCATGGTACGCTGCTGAGAAGCAGGGATGCCTGCGCCAGGAGTTTGACTAGAAGGAATATCATGACCAGCCAGGTTTGGAATAGACCCAACGGCCGAGACGGGTGTTTGCGAAGCAGGCGTGGAGCCAGGATGGCTTGCCTGACCAGCCTTGTCGCCTTGCGAGGGGTCGAACCCATCTAGGCCCACAGAGTCGGGCCTTCCTTGGTCGTCCTGCATGGAAGAGAAGAGGGCACCGAGTTTGCTTGATCGGCCGATGCTTCCAGTGCCAGTCATACCGGCGTGGGGGCTAAATAAACCGCCTCCGCCGAGGGTTGACAAGCTAGGAGACTGAAGATCGCCCATGGAGCCAAAGATAGGGTCACCGAAACCGCCAACAAATGCAGAACGCTCACGAGTGGGCGTGCCGACGGCAGCTCCAGATGACCAAGTCGAGGCTCCACCCAGGGAAGGCAGACCACCCAGACCACCGAGACCAGAGAAGGTGCGGTTGGCATTGACACTGGAGTTCTGGCTGCGGTCAACAGTGGGAAGATCGATTCCTGAGCCAACCCGTCTCATCCCGCCGAAGGGATTGGAAGGATCCCGAAGTCCACTGATTCCGGGATGCTGGGCCGGCTGGATATCCGATCCGTCAGTGTCAACATCTTCGGGTTCCACACGTTCGCCATGACGGTCACCATGCGGGCTCTGGTAAGGATTAGTGTTGGTTGGACTATTTGGCTCGTGGCCCTGGAGCAGGCTGGGAGTTGGGTTCCGCGAGTTCTCCTGGCTTTGCATCAACTCCCGGAATCCAGGAATGCTCGAGGTCATGCCGAATGCGCCAAACCCGAGATCAGATTGAGGGGGACCTTCAACATCCTGAGACCCGCCAAGAGCAGCGCTGCCACTGCGAGGCTCGTCGAACGGATTAGTTTCGCTTCGGTTGACACGAGTCTTGACGGCATCTCCCCAGGGCGACTGCGAACGCCCATCACTGTCGTTTTCAGCAAGACGTTCAAGGTTGCCCATGGGCTTTTCCTTGGCGGAGCCGGCAATATCTTCAGAGCTATCCTTAGACAGCAAACCCTTGAATCTGCTTTCTCCGCGGAGACTTCCGTATCCCGGTTTCTTTTCGGCCGTGGGAGTGCCAGAGCCGGGACCAGAACCAGAACCAAGAGAGAAAGCTCCAAAGGCGCCCATCGGAGAGAAATTGGCATTATGCGAGGCCGAACCCCAGGGGGAGTTCGGTCCACTAGCGCCCGTATTGATGGGATTGGTGGAGCTGCGCTTCAGAGAGCCAAAGGGAGAGGCAGGGTCCTCCCTGCTATCCTTGGCCTTCTCATCCACCTTCGGGTTGGGTTCTCGGAAATCAGTTTTGCGACGCAACAGGGCCGGAGGAGGGGTAGAGGTATTGGCCTCGTCGCGGAAAAATCGGGAGTTGGAACCGGTAGGAGACATGGGGTTGCCAATCGATTCTCCCGTTTCCCTGCGTCGGGGACCCGGGCGACCGGCGGTTGGGGAGGAGGTGGTGTAGTTATTGATATGGCCCTGAGGATAGGAGATCGAAGACTTGCGACCTCCAGTTCCCGGGATGACGTTTTCCTTCGCGGCGTTTGTGGGGGGTGGCTTCAGAGGGGAATTGACTGAAGCGGCGAACATCTATTAAGCTTTTTAGTAAGACAACTCACTCAAACCCGAAAGCACGACACAACACGAACCTCTCTCTCGTCCTCCGTCATACCCGTGATTCCGAGGGGCTCCACCTGGCCGCCGTGATCCCAACAAACCTCGGGCCCTGCAGAGTTGTTCTTGTGGTCATCCCGCTTCCCCCATGCTCCATTCACAGGAGCTGACACAGTGTGGGGATCCCAGTCGGCCACGAAGTATTCCTCCACGTTCTTACTCAAGGTTCCCTCCTCGCGCTGCGATTTATACAGCTCTAGAAGTTGATCCTTGGAGTACCGGGCGTCCCCATTCCGTGCAATGCTAGAAGTATTTGAGCTCAGGTGTGGAGGGATGTACGCGCCGCCGGCAGTGAGTGTCGAGGCAGATGCAGGCTGGCTACTGTCCCGGTGGTGAGAGGGGTGGGTAGCAACAGAAGGACGGCGGAAGGTCTGCGTAGCTCCATTCATGCGGTTTCGGGACCTAGTGGGCATTGAAGGTTAGCATCGGATATCTCGAGCTCAAAACATTGACGGTCACAGCAGCATGGAACGATCTTGGACCGAGCCTGCTGAACAACAGCTAATGGAGGGGTTTGGGGAAGGTGAAACAGTATCTGCATACCATTCTCCGCTAGTCGAACCATCCCCCCTCCGGCTGGGGTCCTGGGTGTTGCCGGCAGCGGCCGAAGCGAAACTCGATGGAAGTGGTGTAGGCATTGTGGTAAAGAGGCTTGTATGGTCGGATGTTGATCCCCCACGTAAAAACCGATTCTGAGATAGTTATCGCGAGACCTGTGGCGGGCTTGCAAAAGAATGTGTGTTGCGAACGGATAGGTTGCAAGACACGAGATTGGAAAATTGGTGTAGAGTTTGAGGATGACAGCTAGGAGCTAGTCGATCGAAGAAGTGGAGAGCTGTAAGAGAGGTAATGCAGATATGCGAGCGCCAGACTAACAAGGTCGAGAAAGAGAGAGATCGAGTTTCGATTTCGCTTGGGAAGTTTCCTGGAGCAAAAATGATTAAGCGGTGGCCGTGGAAATACACGTGGCTTGTTGTAAATACACGGTATGGGATTGCTAGTGGTCGCGTGAGTTGCCGTCAAAGAGGTGGTGAGTGCAGCGTATTTGTGGAACCACAATTACATACCGCCAAGAGCAGGTATCCGATACACGCACAACACTGTGTCTTCATACTCTGCCCAATGTACCTTCTACCTTGTTTTGCACCATTGTGCCCAATCCTGTACAGCAAAGAAGAGAGACATTGTATAAAAGATGAGAATGGTGTCTCCAAATAATCAAAGTGGAGTTTGAGCCTGATTCCCTCTTTTTCCATAACCCAAAAAGACTACAGATAGGAAATACGTATACAGTTAGGTGGCTTGACGCAAACATAGAGATGTGGAAACAACAGAATAGACGTGTATGCCCCACAAAGGCCACGCTCCTCTTTTGATTGGGAGTTCAGTTCAAACAGTTGACAGGTAGGGGAATTGGCTTGCTTTGTCTAAGAATACAAAGGAGAGCGTCTAGACGTTCCACAAATGCAATAGAGGGGGTTGAAATGCATATATCCCTTTCTACCCAACCTCTGCAATGCTGGGCATCTCCCGTCTTAAAATGATTCAACGGTCTTATATCTTTAAATTCGGGCTGGAATCCGGTTGGATTAAGAATCCCATTATCAGTTGTGCCTGTCAATGGGGCTGGATCATTGTGTTGCCCTTTGTATACCTCTACTGCCTCCGTTTGTCCTTTGATGCTTCATTCTACACCAGACAATGCTTTCTGAGATTTGCTCACTTTAAGAGTAACCCAGAGGACAACGACACAATGAATGTCTTGGTCCAAATTGATATGATGGGCTCAGTCTTAGAGCTTCACAGATGTTATCAAGACTCTATAAATGTGGCATCCCCCTCTCCGGCAATTCTCTCTTTACAGTTCTTTCGCTCCAAGACAATCCGGTCAGAATTCTATGAACTATAATTGCATAACAAAGATCATTTTCTCTCGTGTCTTCCGGTATCCAAGTGCTCATCGCCTTTGATCAAAGAAGATGAGGCGGTCCAGATTCACCGGCCGATCCAAACCCAACAATACAGAATTCGGCTGGTACTTCGCTGGCGAGCCAATGGATAAGAGACACTCTCGAAGTGGCCGAATCAGGCTAGTTCGCTACGGACCTGAAATGGAAACTTGTGCCCACAGTCGATGCCCATCGCCATCTCCCATTCCAGAAAAGGCACCTTGCTCCTGCAGCAACACATGCGAGGTTCACTCCCCCGGGACACGCTCCCCATCCCCGAGCAACACTGACTCCTCTGGTTATGAGTCAGTCCAAAAATGCTGCGGAGGATGCCACGCTATCAGACGTGAGCCCGGGTCCCCTCCGCAGGTGGTGAAAGTAACCTGCTCCTGCAACAATCAGTGTGAATGTCACTCGCACGAAACACGCCCGATCACGCCAAGCAGCAGTGAATATTCTAGCTCTGAATCAACCACAAAACGCCATGGTAGCCGTGACTCAACAAGACGCGAGCGTCGTTCCAACGACACACGTCCCACCACGCCGAACAGCAGTGATCTTTCAGGCTACGAACGGCCCAGAAGACGCCGCAGCGGCCACCGCATCTCAAAACGCGAACCAGAGCACCATCTACAGGCGGAGGAATGCCAATGCGAGGCTCACGCTCCCCCTCACAGCACCCCTGCCATGCCAGGCCAGAAATACAACTCCCCACGTGCATCGTTTGCGACAGCACCGCGCTCCGGCCCAGTAGTCCAACGCCACCACTGTCGCAAGGCGTCTTATTGCGAAAGACACCCGGAGGTCTGCCGAGCTTCGATTCCTGCGCCTTCACCGGTGCCGAAGACGACGTCAACCCCGACGCGCTCTCCCCGGTCGAGTGAAAACTTCCGTCACAGCTCCCGGGTCAAATCGGTCCCGAAATGCACTTGCAGGCGGTCTGCTTCGCCTCCCAAGCAGGTGCCTCCCCCAAAGCCAGTGTCTTCCTCCAGACCTACATCTCCCAGGCCTGATTTCCAGCATTGTACTTGTTTCCACATGGATGGGTATTATGCTGATGACTCTGGCTATTATACTCCTTATGATGATGACACTGCTTCCGGGACCTCTATTCAGGCCATGCCTGACCATGATCGGGATATGGATGAGACACGTTGTGCTTTTCATCACCGCTGTCATCCGAGGTTTGAGTGTGGGCTTGGCTGGGTGTGCGGAAGAGAGTGAACAGACTTTCCTTCGTGGTTCGGTGGTTGTATTTGATTTTCAATAGAAGGACGATTCATGCTGTTTTCCCTTGCTATTTTCTCTTCTTCTGGTCGGTGGCCTCTTTGAGTTAGAATATCAATCCTAGATATTGAGAGCTTCGTTGGCATAACTGTCGTTTCCGTGTCAAAGGTCCAGAAAAGCTCTCTGTCCTTCTTTTTCGTGTGTCCATCTTACGGCCTTGGATGTATTGAGACACTCGTTCAATTCTAGCTTCACAAACAAATTCATTTGGTATGATAAAAGCTTTAAATTCGATGTTCCCTTTGCCATTATTGTAGTCTCTGCTTTATAGTCGAGGTGGGAGCCCGGCCAGTTACGTTAATAACTTCATCGATCATGGCATGGATTTTTTTTGTCGCATACAGAACGAGTCTGGTAATGCGTAGACATCACGTCCTCGAGTACGACAATACGTATGTATCTCACTTAGCTTGATTGCCTTGGATGCTTACTTGCTCTCGTGACAGGTGTTCCATATCACTCTAACTACCAGCTAGTACACACTACCAAACCGCCTACTGTAAGATCAAGTGAGTCAAGCCAACGCCGGCATACGGTATTGCGACATCGCATACTCTAAGGCAATGTGGAAAGGATCTGTACACCGATATCAACGTCTCATTTGCATTTTACATGCATTTTTATTTTCATCTCATATTAATCTCACATAATTGTCATTTCACTACTCATATTATGTTCAATCTTCGAAAAAGGCCCTTGTTGTGATTTGAAACGAAGTACAACCCCAAAAGTAATGTCTTCTCAGAACACTCTACAAATAGAGACACGGCAAACCAGTCGTCGAGGTGATCACTTCGCACCCTCGTCACTGTTGACACCTTCCAGCTCTTCAGTGTCTATGGCCCCCTTGGTGTCATCGAGGTCCTCCATGCTGGTGTCAGCAGAGGCGACAGTGGCAGCGGCAGTCTCGTTCATCTTCTTCTCGAAGGCCTCAAGTTTGACTTTTAGCCGGGACCAGCGCATGCGAGCGGCACCCACGTTCAGGTTGAGCTCCTTAGCCAGAGCTGCGATGCCTACCTGTAAGCAATGTGAATTCAGTATGTGACATCAATCAATCAAGATGAGGGCGTGATGATATTACTTCCTTATGGTTCAGCTTCGCGAGCTTCCAGAGGAACATCACGTCCTCATCCCTGAGGTTATTCTTGGTAGGCTGCCGCTTGCGAGTGGCAGGAGGAGACTTAGTCACGGTCTTTTTGGGAGCCATGATTGATGAAAATATTGGACGTTGGTAAAGAGGGTTAAAGAGGGTTGATAGGATGTTTTGGTTTGATCAGAATCGGGTAAGATGAAAGTGGGAGGAGGAAAATGAATGAAATGAATGTTAGTATTTTCATAGGAGTTGCTGGGTCGTTGCGTTTGATACGTTGCCAGCTATGAGTCGCTACCTGTGAGTCGCCAGGCTGGAAGGTAGGAGCTAATCTATAAGCGTCCTACACCCGATGTCCCTATCAATCCAATAAGCAACGAGGTATACTCAAATAGTATCTTGCATAGTGATGTTTGATGTTCCTAAATATTCGCCTTGCGAGTCAGGCCTTCACCTTAGCCCACTCAATTATATATACCGTTATTTCCGAACCTAGAAAAAGGCTAGACACAGAAGTCATAGGAGACGCTACTAGATGTGCGTGACTTTTTCATGAGTATAGTCAATGGTTCTTGGTGTTTCAGTGCCAGCTACATCTGGTGCCCGGTACCCGATAGAGCAAAGTCAAGTCTTCTACTCTCGCTGCGATGATTGGTTCTCTTATAGCTTCTGCTATGTAGATTGGGGAGGGAGAGAAGGAAGAAAATCTTGATCATTCAATCTATGAAGAACAGGGTACTTATACCCTGGAATCTAGCAAACAAGCCTGTATAAACATGCAATATACAACAGCTATGTAGTAACTAGTTATGAAAGGTCACTACATATATATAAAACAGCAGCTATCCAATAACACCATATGCGCTCCGGCGTTAGACGAACATACTATGAATATTGGTGCTTTTAGTTACAATTTATTTCAATCCGAGCTTTGCATTTACTATGTTAGGATATATAGACACAAGTTTCCAACTTCTATCAATTTAATATTGTTCAATATATAGTCTCGGACATCCGGCCTCAGACGCGTAATCAACAAATCAAGAAACCTCGGCTATTGATAAGCATTTAAGCATCCCCGCACGAGCGCCCTGACTTTCATCAAGGTCAATTTGTTTTGATATCTTCATTTAATACATAAAAAATGTCTAAAGCAATTTACATATCCCCAATCGACGGGAAGCCCGGCAAGCCAGGCCAAGTCTACTACCCGCTCTCCCTCCGCACCGTGCCCAAGCCTTCCCCGCAAGGGAGTGAGCTATTGGTGAAACTGACTGCCGCGGCGCTCAACCACCGCGACCTCTTCCTCCGCCAACACCTCTACCCTGGCGTGACCTTCGATGTGCCCCTACTCTCAGACGGAGTCGGTACCGTTGTTGGCACTGGACCGGACGTCCCCAATCCAGAGAAATGGCAAGGCAAGCGGGTGATCTTGAACCCCGGTACTGGCTGGAAGGATTCACCCGATGGGCCGGAGGATCTTGCTGGATACCGGATTATGGGAGGCACCAAGGTTTGGGATAAGGGGACGTTGCAGGAATATATCACTTTCGAGTACTCGGAGGTCGAGGAGGCACCTGAGCATCTCTCTGATGCCGAGGCTGCGGCTTTACCCCTGACGGGCTTGACGGGCTGGAGAGCTCTGATTACCAAGGCTGGTGAGAGGAACTCTGGGAATGGTGCTGCTGTCTTGATTACTGGTATTGGTGGTGGTGTGGCTCTGATGGTGCTGCGGTTTGCTGTTGCCAGAGGGGCGCATGTCTTTGTGACGAGCTCGAGCCAGGAGAAAATTCAGAAGGCCGTTGAGCTAGGTGCGACCGGTGGTATTAGTTATAAGGAAGAGGGCTGGGAAAAGAAGCTGTTGGGTATGCTCCCAGCTGGGAAGAGGAACTTCGATGCCATCATTGATGGTGCCGGTGGTGATTCTATTGAGAAATCTGCCAAGTTGCTCAAGGTGAGTGCCGCAACGGGACATATATTCAATTGCGGGTGAAAGTACTCACATTTCCAGGCCGGCGGTGTCCTCTCTATCTATGGAATGACTGTGTCTCCTAAGATGCCATTTACGATGCCTGTTGTTCTCAAGAACATCGATGTCCGCGGTTCCACGATGGGCTCCCGAAAGGAGTTCAAGGAGATGATTGAGTTCGTCAATGCTAAGAAGATCCGTCCTGTGGTGTCGCGAGTTCTGCAGACTGAGCTAGATGACTTGTCCGCAATCGACGAGCTGTTCGAAGACATGAAAAAGGGCACGCAGTTCGGCAAACTGGTGATTGAGTTTGGCAAGTCTGCGGGCAGTAAGCTGTGAACATATTCTTGCTACGATTCCCATGAATTCATGATGCCTGCCTGTATGGCTGTCTATAAACCTATGATACATATCAATTGAGATATTTTGCTGCAACTACGAGTGTTCTTCGTACCTTCCCCCTCGGCCACCTCACTTCATACATCATCGCATTACAACCTATTTGCATCTTCAGCATGCCATCGCCACTTTTATCCCTCATCCTCTCTTATTATAAATCCGATCGAGTAACCCAATCTCGAATTCATTCATTGTATAACAAATTCTTCCATTCATTTCCGATTCCACCCCCACCATGAACTCCAAGAGGGACCGCATCTCCACCCGACGAGTCTCTCGCTCCGTTTCTCGCGGAAATGGCCATGTGCCTCGTATGTCGGACTCCAGCCCTGTCCTAGAGGATTCGTGGGATGAAGGTAGTTTTCAGGTATTGCCGCATCGGGGAAACGTCGACCCTATGAAATGCCCTGTTGATACTAACAGTCAATACAGTCATTTGACGCCACTCACTATGCCCTGCAAACCCTCAACAAGCACATCGAACGAAGACTCGCAAAGCTGCAAGCCAATACAGTCCGTCTGAAGCGTGAACTGTGGCTGCTCCAGCGACACATCAAAGAATTCCGCCATCCTCTTTTCGAGAACTGGGAAGCCGACTTGCTCACCCGTCTTATCGAGGTTGCTCACGCCCATCAGCATAAGAAGCTACCAGGCGGCGTCGTGATCGGAGAGTCTTCGTTTGCCGAACGAGAAAATCTCAACCATGCATACAGCATCGCGGCGAAGGGAATCCGCATGCCGACTCTTCGCAAACTTGGTTTGTCGGAGAAGTATCATCAGGCTCTGCAGCGATATTCAGAGGTGAGTTATCGCCGTGGTCATGATTTAACGTACCTAGGCCTAGTCCCGCTCTAACATGGATCAGGTCGCTCCTTATCGAAGTCCGAATCCCTTCCAGACTGAGTTCGCATTCGCCAAATGGCTGGTCGAGGTGCGAGAAGACAGACCGGAACTGTATAGTTTCTGGTCTAAGCTTTTTCCCGTCTGCTACGACCGCACCGTCCAAGAGAGCGCCTCCATCTTCTAGAGGACTCCGCGGAGAATCAAATCACCTCATCATCCCGTCTCGTCGCGTTTCCTTTTTTTCGCTATTCCTGCCGGCAAAGCATCCAAAGAGGGGCTGTTTAGTGGATACAATATTGCTTCGTTTTTAGAGATCTTCTATTTCTAGAAGTTTGTGGGGTCATTGCCGTGGGTTCCGGCCTCGTTCTGCCCCGTGCGGTTGTGGTCATTGTGTCTCATCTCAGCTCTCCACGTAGATACACCGAGTCTATTCTTATCGTTGACAGTCAGAATGCAGCGCCTTTTTTGGTCATATACTCCCGATGCATGGCATGACTTTAAGAAATAACCCTAATCGTCCTATAAACTAGCAGGCGATGTCTTGGTTTCCTTCAGCGATCGACGGTGTCCTTACTACCGATTTGGCAACAGACTACCACCGTTGCATTGAATCCCAAACCACATAACTACCACAGCTAGTATTCACCGATCTCTCTATTCCACAAACCAAATAGCCTAAATGTCAAACGCGCTAAGCACTCTGGTGCAGCTAGCACTTAATTCTGTCATCCCGGTCGAACAATCAACAATCAACAATCAACAATAAGCAATAAGCAATATGCAATATGCAATATGCAATATGCAACCAAACCCCACGTCCACGATCTCAAAAACCCTATTCCAGCAATCCTCTCGCTTGCTGCATGAGGCAGGCAATGCCGTATTCAGTTGGCTGTACTCCGTAGCAGTGGCACGATAATGTTTCCGCTCGCTAATAATAGCTCTTTTTATAAGCTCGATGCTAAATGCTAAGTGCGAACTAAAAAGTGAGACAGCCCTAGGCGGTGTGTATACTAGCACCTGCATGGGCAGTTAGTTGGGCTTGGCGAGGCTAGCGCAACGCTCTCAGTAGCAGGTTGATCAACCTCATGGACAGCTTTTCAGGGTCTACCAGCTTCCCCCGACTAGGATATGTTCCGAGAGGTCTTGCTGTGATTTTGGTGGATTTTCGGGTTTTCGGGTTTTTTAGGCGTTTTTCGAGTTAGGTAGGCTTAGGCTTGGACGTTGTCCCGACATTATTCCGGTTCGCACTGCTACCCTGCCCTTTAGATCGCCGTGTGCTCCGTTATCCGTACTCGGTACGGAGCAGATACGTTTATTTTGACTAATTATGGATGCTTGGCGCGACGAATGACTATCCTTGTTTTTTTCTTTTTTTGACTTTTGCGCCTTCTGTGGAGATAATCTAGTGGATACACCCGTGAACGTTCAATGGAGCGATGAAGTAAAGAAAACACTGTGATATCCTCATTAGGATATACGTGGTTTATTGTACATAATGTACCATAGATAGAAGATCGCTACCAACCTTGATAGATCTTAGCAAAGGTTAATGGTTCATAAGCGCAGACGTTATACCTACCCGGGCAAACTATCAGATAAAAGTTGCTGCCTATCTTGGCAGTCTATCTTGGCATTCCACCGGGACCTTGGATAATATGTACCATAACGTCCACGTTTTCTGAGTGGAGCGCAACATGGAAAAGAGTGGAAAGCAATGGATAAATCCATACAATATACAGAGTAGACCGTACACTTCCATGGTTTACTCAAAAGTCATAAGTCAGCTATCTGATTGTCGGATCCGACATCCATAACCAGGTGGGGTAGCGTCTGACGATTGACCAAAGAGAAGCAGTTGACTGGATATCAGCGAGACAGTGAAGCAGCGAACTCGATTTGGTATGGTTTGGACTTGGTACGAAAGTGCCAAAATTGATGCCTTGGAAGTGCTAAAAGTGCTAGAGGTGCTAAAGGTGCTAAAGGTGCTAAAGGTGCTAAGAATGCTAAAAGGCCGGACCTCGGGAGGGGGATTATTCCCGAGATCCCGGTATTGAAATTTGTTTTAGCGTGCTATTATTGGTGAGACTCTCTACGCTGCTCCACTTCACGGAGATATTTCTCCGTATGATATACTCCGTACTATAGTAATAGTATATTATAGCGTCAACGTTATCGACGACTTTGAATGATCTTTTTTATTATTCTTGGTTTAGAGTTTGGGTTGAAACACTAAGATAAACCTGTATGTATATCGAAGTAGAAATAAAGTGTTTCATAGGTTCACTACAGGTTTGGTATAGTCGATCGTTCGTGGGTTCCATCAACCTGAAACCGTACTTCGACTTCGATGGATTCGATTGACGGGGGAGTTCGCTTCGATCGGCTTTTATTGACGATTGTCATTATGGCATTTGAAGCGGTGAAATAATCAAATGTTTTTAATTTTTTAATTTTTTTTTTCATGTGGTGTAGTGTGTTGTTGTGACATATATACATCGCTCTATATACAACCGACATATATTTATACGACCACAATCCATGCCAGCCTTTTTTTTATAACTTTAAAATAACGTTAAGAGCAATTCGATATATTATTATTTTCCATTCAACAGACAAATATTATATCGCAAATACCAATAAGCTATACTCTTACCTCCAATATCTACCCGCTCCCAAATTCCGCCCAAGCTTCCAATCCGAATCGGATCGTCATGGAGATCTGTCTCACAGCCCCTGACTCGTCCACAGCACCGAAAGAGCCACACGTTACAAGACAAGCCACCACGTTCCTCAGACAGCTAAAAGAAATCTAATATTGAAATAGTTTCACCTAAAAATGCTCTCCTTGATACGAGGGGAAGATGAAAGATGACGAAAAAAAAAAAAAAAAAGCAAAAATCAAGGACACGGGATCTCGCGTAAAATCATCCGCAATATCAGCTAAGATCTACACCCAAAGCGCCCCCAGATAGAGGTGCCTCTTCCACAGGCAGTGAACATGAAAGCAACAGAGAACGACCCAAGTGGGTACAAGATCAACAGTGTTAGTTAGGGTGGCGCCGTTTTTACTGGTCATGTTGAAGACATTCTGCAACAAAGAGCCCGCTTGATAAGACTCGCTTAGAAAACCATTTCTTCTCTCCACACTGAGACATACGAGCTCAAGATGCGTGGGTTCGATTCAGATGGTACGGGAAGAAGCATCGGTGATCAATATGGAGATGTCTGTTCGTCAAGCATCTGTCTCCTTCCATGCCCGAGCGCAAAAATATGACCGTGACAAATCCCGATATCAAAAAATCCCGATATCAAAAGTGAGTTTGATTCCCTGCTGTCAGTTTTGACCGCAAGTCCATGCGATAATCTTGTTTCTCCACCGGTGTTTCATTGTTATCATATTATCACGGCCTCCACCGGAGAACAGAGGATAGTGCAGGCAAATACCGCTTATAGTATTAACCGTACTGAGCGAGGCGGAATCTGTCAACTTTGAGCTCCGTGCCTAAAGCCGTTAATCTCGTTTTTCATCTATAGTGGAATCCATGAATAGACGTGAGCTATCTTAGGGGAAGGCGTTGAACCCTATTAACGTTCTTTTCCCGGAAGCACGGGCGGTACGTATGCATTGTATATTGCGTAGGTACTTCGTACGGAGTGTGTACAAAGTACTTCGTACTCGTCTGATAACCACTTTTCTCTTGCGCAGGTGCCAAGGGAGATTAAAGCTAGCAAGGACGGTTCCCACCGTTGTATAATTCTCTGCTCGTGAGTGGCCATCGAGGATGGAGCTAATGTCAATGATTCACACATCCCTCTGCGATGGAACGACCATCGACGAATAAGGCTGCCCTGAGGGAGATGATCTTCGTTGCAGGGGGCGAAAAAAAAACCTAAGGGTCCTGGAAGACATGCAGTTGATTTCGAGTCGTGATTCGCGATTTTAGATCAGCCATTCGTCATGGATAGAGTGGCTCCTGATTCCACTCTACCGTCCAACCCCAACAGGGGACGATATATGATCCCAACAGCGAAAGTCGGATCCTTTCTCTTCACGGTAGAATAAAGATACCCGACATCGATCTTTCTCTCTTCTC